AATTCAGTAGCACAGAGAGCACTAAAGAGCATGGCCCTATGGCAGTTACACAGTAAAGGATAAATGAATGCAAGGAGTAAACTTCACGCCAAAGGCAGTTGACTCGAGATTATCAGTTAGGGGTCAAAACAAAACCAAACCAAACCAGGCCAAACTTTCCTTGCCACGTTATTGCAAATGTCACTGCTTTCACACACACACACACACACACACACACACACACACACACACACACACACATCTGATCTGATGACACCGGAGAGAGAGTGTATCTATGAGAGTGACAGGCTTAACATCCGGATCCAGCCCCTTCCTCCCTCCCTGGAGTCTACACGGCAGCTTCCACCTCGTTAGCATCAGCTTCTCAACTACGTGTCCCTAAGCAGGTTCCTCCCTCCGAGGCGGCCGAGGAGAAAAAGCTCTCTCAGCAATACTGTCTTGATCACTCCTCTAAAAGGAAAAGAGAAGAGGCGGCGACGTGAGATATCCGCAAAATAAGGAGTAAAAATGGAGGAGACGAGAAAACAGTTTGAAAGAGGCGCATGGAGTTGCGCTCTCTTTAAATTCCACCGTCGCTTCCCGCGGTGGGTGAAGAGGGAAGTACACGTGGCTCTAGGCAGCCCTGGCCCCAGGCCTGGTCAGGTGGAGCGGAGGGGCTGCGGCTCACGCGCGCCGGGTGTTCAGGCCCCGGTGCCGGCGGGCGGCGGGATCTACCACCCCCGCCTCCACTCGGCGGTGGTCGCGCGCGCCCGGAGGCGGCCGCGTCCTTCCTGCAGCCGGGGGCCGCCCCAGCGCCCGCCTCGACACTTACTCTTGCTGACCGTCTTGAGAGCGCGCGTGAAGTCGCCGTTCTGGCCATAACGGTTCACTTCACTCCAGAGCGCAGGCACCGACACCCCCCCGCTGCCGCCGCTCGCCATCTTGGAGGGGCCGCGGGGAGGGGCGGGACGACCTCTGCCCCGGAAGAGGATCCGGCGGCGGCCCAGCGGAGGAGGAAGCCCGTGGTTGCTAAGCGTTTTCGAGTCGGAAGCGCCCTCGCCCCTCAAGTAGTGTCGGAGCTTGCGGTCTTAGTTTCTTCGAAGTTTGCATGGATAGAGGCGATACGTCTTACCCCAGCCGATCTGAAGGAACGAGGTGTAGGACTACGGCAAGGGGCCGAGAAGGGGTTCACCAAACGGTTTTGGCTCAAAGCCGCCTGCGTTTCCGGGACTAGCCCTGCCGGCGAAGCAGCACCCTCGTCCCACGAGGCGGAGCTGACCGACGGTCTGTGGGATGGTAAAATACTAACTGGAAACCTGAGGGAGTCCTGTGAAGCAGCACGGAGAGAGACGGCTTCTCTTTGCTGCTGGAGAATACTTCCTAAAGGAATTGCATTTGAAAAGGATCTTGAAAGATGATTAGGAAGACCGGGGGTTGGGTCTGAGGAAAATTCAGGCAGAGAAGATAAAAAGAACCCACAAGTGCAAAACACGTTCGATGAACCCACCCTTCCACCCGCCGCTGCTCTCTGGGCTCCAGTTCAGGAACAGTCAGCAACGCGGCCAAAGGAAGGCCAAAGGATATTGACGTGTAAGGGGTGAGAGTGCCCGGGCTCAGTTCCTGGCTCTAGGACTCACTAGGTGTTTGACGGTGAGCAAATTGTTTATCAGAGTCCCAGGTTTCCCGACTGTAAAACAGGGAAAGGTTTTTGTTTTTTTTGTTTTTAAGATTTTATTTATTCATGAGAGAGACAGAGAGAGGTGGAGACAGAAGCAGGTTCCATGCTGGGAGCCCGACGTGGGACTCGATCCCGAGTCCCCAGGATCACGCCCTGGGCCGAAGGCGCGCTAAACCGCTGAGCCACCCGAGCTGCCCAAAATAGGGAAAGTATTACTGTTGTTCTGGGGGTAACAGATACTTCATGCATCCTGGCATTTACAGGAGTTCAAGTAATACATAGACATAGGTTTGGAGTATTTTTTTGTAAGAGCTTAAATATCAAGATAGGTTTGTCAGAAGAGTACTTGTTGAGTACTCTTGAGAACGACAGGACATCTGTTGAAAGCCTACTCCGCAGACTCATTGTCAAGATCCTACTAACTCCTGCTACTTTCCCCACATCCTTTTTAGTCTTCAGTATTTCTCCAGATTTTAAAAAGTTACTTTGATCTTGCAGACGAGGTAGCACGCCCCATTACTTTCTTTTTTTATTTTTTTTTAATTTTTATTTATTTATGATAGTCACAGAGAGAGAGAGAGAGACAGAGAGACAGAGAGACAGAGACACAGGCAGAGGGAGAAGCAGGCTCCATGCACCGGGAGCCCGACGTGGGATTCGATCCCGGGTCTCCAGGATCGCGCCCTGGGCCAAAGGCAGGCGCTAAACCGCTGCACCACCCAGGGATCCTGAAGCCCATCTCGGAAATGATAATGGACTATCATTTCCATGAGGCCAGGGACCTTATTTACCCTTATTCACTGCAGTACCCTAGGATCTAGCACACTGCCTGACACATAGTTGGTACTCAACTTTTTAGCATGAGTTTTTGCTAATTTTTTCTCTAATCTCAGTTCCTTCATGGTAGAAGGTATGTCCAACTTGTGGTTGTTTACCAGTGGTGCCTGGCACTTTCATGTCTGGTCAATGTCACTATGGTATCATGTTAAAATAGAACTACTGGTCTAGTGAACTCTATCTCTGGAGAATATGATCTCTGTGAGCATTACAGACTTTCCTTGACTGTTAAACTGTCACACATTACAAACTATGCCTAGATTTCAGGTTAAGGGAGTTCCCGGTGACATCTGATACACCCAAAATTTTGCGTGTATTTTCAAAGAAAAGTTTTTGTAGCTTGCCTCGGATTCTCCAATGGTGTTTTCATGCAACAGCCCTACCCTGGTTCACCCCACCCTACCCAACGTGAGGACCGACAACTTTAGTCAAGTGATTCTCTTCTCAGAACATTATAAAAGGATTCAGTTTTGGGTTTTGCATCAGTCTGTTCTCATACTATGTAGCTTCCAGAAGTTCCTCAGAATTCCGGTACAGATTCCCATGTTTCTATTTCTTAAGTCATTTTCTTTTTTAAAAGATTTTATTTATTTATTCATGATAGTCACATAGAGACAGAGAGGCAGAGACACAGGCAGAGGGAGAAGCAGGCTCCATGCAGGGAGCCCGACGTGGGATTCGATCCCGGGTCTCCAGGATTGCGCCCCGGGCCAAAGGCAGGCACCAAACCGCTGCGCCACCCAGGGATCCCTCTTAAGTCATTTTCATCAGGTTTTGTGGCAAACAGGATATAAAAATATGGGTTTTATCTGCATTTTTGAAAGGAGTCTTCCAGAGCGATCTTTTTATAAACATTTTATCTGATGCCATTTTCGTACCCTCGGGATGAAATCCAAAAGCCTATCTATCCTGGAAGATCCTTGATGGTATGGCCTCTGCTTTCTAACCTCCCCAGCCCACATAGGTCTTTTGTTATTCACTCCTTAGTTTCCTGCATGTAATACTCCTCTAACATTAGTTACGTGTGGTTCCATGTTGCCCTACCTATGGGAATTTGCACATTTATTCATTCAACAAATATTTACTGAATGCTTTGTGTTGGTGTCCAGCATTATACTGCTCCCTAGGGATATAATTAACAAAAAGAACTCTGTGTACTCATGGAATTTATTTTCTACTTGGAAGAGGTAGGCAATAAATACACACCATGTTCAGTGGTAATAAATTCAATGAAAATTAAGGTAAGAGGGATTGAGAATAGAGTGCAAAGAGTTAGAGACCTACCTTCCTTTTTGTTCACAATGTATACTTGTTTTAATTTCTTCCTCCCTTGTGTACTCAGAATCCTTGATCACTTACTCCATATTAGACAATGTATGTTTTGAAAAAAACAGGCAGGAGAAATATTTAGTCCTACTTTACAGATAAGAACTAAAGCTAAACAAAACAAAACCAAACAAAAACAAAAACAACCACTAAAGCTCAGAATAATGTACCCATGTAAATCTTTTCATTTCCATTCTACTGTTATTTTCACTGTACCACAATGCTAGATGAACAACTCGGTCCCAAGTAATTTGAGATCATGGGGAGTTAAATGCAAAAATGCACCACTAAAACTATTTCACTCTGGCAGCCCAAGAACTGTGGGTTGAAGAACTCTGGATAAGCCACATTATGCTGATTCTCTGCCCTTCTCCCCTATGTTCAGAAATGAAATCAGCTGAAGGGAATATTAAATTCGAGGTGGATTTTATGGTGAATCAGTTTCACTCATACCAACTTCTATAGTCTGCCAAAGGGATATTACATAATGTATTCAGGTATCAGGATATACTTTACATATGTTGACTCAATTCTCTTAACAGTGTCAGGGTAGTATTTGCAGGTCCTCAAAAAGGCAGAGCTGTTTTACCTCCTGCTTCCTTAGTCTGGTTATTTCCCCACATTTCTTTTTCTTTTCTTTTCACTTTCTTTCTTTCTTTCTTTTTCTTTCTTTCCTTTCCTTCTTTCTTTTTCTTTTCTTCTTTCCTTTTTCTTTTTCTTTCTTTATTTCTCTCTCTTTTTCTTGATTTATTTGTTCATGAGAGACACAGAGAAAGAGGCAGAGACAGGCAGAGGGAGAAGCAGGCTCCATGCAAAGAGCCCGACATGGGACTTGATGCCCGGTCTCCAGGATCAGGCCCCGGGCTGAAGGCAGTGCTAAACCACTGAGCCACCGGGGCTGCCCATTTCCCCACATTTCTGCATGGCTCACTCTTTTACATCATTGCTCTGCTGTCTGCAAAAACCTTTCTCTTATCTCCAGCACTATCCTATCACTTTGGTTATTCTTCACATGCACTTATACTTCCCTAATTCTACCTAATACATCTTTTATGGTTTGTTATCCCCAATAAGATTTTTTTGACAGTGGGGGCCTTGTTTCTGTTCAGTACTGTTTTCTTAGGGCCTCAAATAAAACCAGGCAAAGTATGTATCTCATGAATATATGAATGAATAAAGCTTCACACAACTTGTCTTTTATTTGGTTACAGTGTTTACATTTCAGAAGGCTTTAAAGCAACAGCAATTGTAAGCATGCCTTTATGATACAAAGTACTATATTACTTGGAAAAATTTTTCCTCCTCAGTTTGTTTACCTACAAGCCCCCAAGAAAGTATAATCACCCAGATGGCAAACTAGGTAATTCTGTACAAGTTAATGTAACAGTTAAAGTACTTTCAAACAAGTATTTACTCTGGTATTACTGAAAATACACTACAGGGGATATACTCTAAAATTGATAATGACCATTGAAATGGTCTTATCCACTTATCTAAATTGGTGTTTGAAACTTCTGTACTGCACTAAAGCAGGTAGAGTTTTGCTAGGGAGGGATAGAACTGAAATTGCAGTCAATAACTATTCAGAGGCCACAAAGCCAAAGATTAAAGATGTTAAAATAATCTCTTTTTAAGTGTTCTTGTGAACTAAGAATGAAGCAGTACGTAATTTTTACAATTCTCCCATCTCTAGAAGGCTGCTGGGCATAGCACATCACAGCAAAAGGCAATGTGAGGAAATAAAGTGTAAGATTTTATTTTCTCCTCTTTTGCAGCTTCTAATCCAACAAAGAACTGTAAGTAGCCACTGTAGTTAGGAGGGATTTGGGAAGGCTTCACGGAGAATGTGAAAATGAAGCTCTAGTAAATAGATTTAAAAAAAAAAAGTTTATTTATTCATGAGAGACACAGAGAGGCAGAGACATAGGCAGAGGGAGAAGCACACTCCCTATAGGGAGCCTGATGTAGGACTCAATCCCGAGACCCCAGGACCATGACCTGAACCAAAGGCAGATGCTCAACCACTGAGCTACCCAGGTGTCTCTGATTGCTCCTTTCTATAAAATGAACATATATATAAAATTTTACATGGAAGTTTAAGGGGTTCACAGACATTCAGATTAAAGTTTAGTGATCTATCTGCATAATGTAACAGTGATTTCCAAACAGTTTATAGATTGATGATAAACTTTAACACCTCTCAGTAACAACTACTCCTTTAGAGGTGAATCTTACTGGGTACCCTGCCCAAACTTCTATTGTTATAAGAAACTAGTATGGTTATCAACTAGGAGATTCCAATTTTGGAAAATCATGGTAGGCTGAGGATTGTTAGTTTGGCTAAAACATGTATTATCAGAATTAAAAGAATTTTATGATCCACAGAGGTACCTATTACAGCTAAGTAAGATTTACTAAATCTTCCATTTGGAATGACAAAGTGGACTCTACTTTTTTTCCATGGAAAACTGCCCTGACATTTATCAGAGAAGTTCTCAGAAAAGTCCCTTATCCATGGCTTTGACAGTATCCCTTCATCTTATTTCCATGTGTCTTCCCTACCCCCAACACCAATCTCAATTTTTCTTAAACAAAAAACAAAAGCAAAGCAAAACAGCATCTGTCTATAGCTATAAATATACATCTATTCTGAGATGTTGACTGCAAGTAAAATACCACACCCTTAGGATTTTGTAAAGATCATAATGTAAAAGAGGACTATATTGCTCTTATCACTCTTAAGATTTAAGCATTTTAACTTTTTAAAACTTATGGGTGGAGATACAGAAGGTCAAGTAACTTTAGAGCTCTGTAATAGGTACAACATTATTAGCATTTAAGAAATATATCTGATTATGTTAACTACCTAACAGTGACCTTTTAGTAGCTAAGAGATTTTAAGTGTCTTTCTAATAATTTCACTTCCTCTAAAGAAATATTAGTAAATATGTCCATTTAGTCTACCGATCCATGAATCTAGAGAAGCGTTTATTCACTAGTAAATTTTATTATTTTGATTGATTTAAAAACTTTTCATCTTGATTTTTTTCTGAAACTAAACAAGAAATGTATAGTTTTTCTACAAAAAAAAAAAAAAAAAAAAAAAGCAATGATGTTTTTATAAATTGCCCTTTCGGATTTTCTTGTCAGCCTGTTTCAAGGAAATCCATGTGTTCAATATACTTGCTCGAAGTTTAGCCCATACCAAATGGTTGTTTAATCCAAATATCTGAGCAGCAAACTGAGCTGATCCTTCTGGGGAAAGTATGGTCGAACAGCCAAGACCTATTGGTTCAGAAAAGAAAAGAATTTTAATCTCTCAGTTAATAATGAAAATAGCACTTAGTAGATTCTTTTGAAGTAATCTCTACATCCAACATGGGCTCAAACTCATGACTCCCAAGATCAAGAGTCACATACTATATCAATTGAGCCAGGCAGGGGCCCTTAGTAAACTATTTCACACTCAGAAAAGTCCTGTTAACTACAAACAATAAAACGCTACTGTATCATCCTTGTTTAAAATAGGATCTGTGGAATAAGTTTTCATGGAGTGGTAAAGTGATTATTAAGAGGTAGGTAGTATTTCTCTACCATGAACAGGTATTTTATATATATCATCTATCACTCTTTTCACTGATTCATCTGCAAAGAAATTCACCTTTTTCAAAGTTTTTTTCACATACAGTAAACCCTTAAATTCCTAGAGAAAGGCAACAGAAATAAAACAAGGATCAAGTGGAAAGAAGCACTTGTTCTTGGACAAACCTGAGGTACGTTAATTTTTTTTAAAATAATTTTCTAGCTGCCACTTTTGTCCTTGCACTTTAACTATTTTAACAACTTTAAGCAGTAAAAAACCTTAAACCTAAAGATAATTTTATAAAACATCAAGTTATAAGTAAATTCAGTATTTATAAGATCTAAGAAAGTAACTTCCTTGGGGGCCACATAATTTACTCAGGCAGACTTTCTGTTATGGGATGGTACTATTGTATCTGTGTCACTTGAGTGAAGTACTAACTAGCTTATAGATCCAAAAGCTTAATTTTTCCAATATTCTTGGAATTCATCAGGCTCTTTGACCCCCCACTGCCCTAAAATCAAGCATAAATCACAAGGCCAATTTATTAGTTTGTATTAATAAATCAATTTATGCAGCTCCAACACTTATGTGACATTGCTCAATGTACTTCATGTTAACATTAATATCCTTATCTATTAAGACGGGAGTGATAAGTAGTAGCTATCTTATGTGAGCATTCAACAAGTTAATATAGATAAAGTGCTTGGGGCAGTGCCTGGTGCATAGTAAATACTTAATGAATGTCAACTGTTATAGTAGTAGTATCTAGGTACAGAGTTCTACTCTAGTAACTAAAAAAGACCTGTGCCTACTGCTCAGGGCTCCCTTTCTGACATCAGGAAAGCTTAATTAGCAAAGAATTAGGTTATCTAGTGATGCCATAAGAGAAAGAGAAACAGAGTTTTCAGGATTTTCAAAGGGCAGTGTAAAACTCTTCCTCAAAAGATTATACCAATTCTAGTGATCAGAATGTACAAATCTTCCATATTCCCATTCTCTAGAGAGAAAAACTGCCATTCTTGCTCATCTTATTCTCCCTTTTCTAAACTCCACTGATAATACCCGTACTATTCCTGACATAAATTTAATTACATTTTCATTTATAGCCATAGTAAATTTCTAACTAGAGAAGTTGATACAATCATATGTCCAGCTAAAGATGACTAATCAAGGTGGATTAATCACAAGGTGTGTCCCTGAAACTGTATAAAAACAGTAAGTAGCTGAATGTTATACTAAAAAGTTTGTTCAATATGTTTTTTGATTCTAAATCAAATATGTGCAGCTGTGGGACACCTGGGCGGCTCAGCGGTTGATCCCGGAGACCCAGGATCGAGTTCCACTTCGGGCTCCCTACATGGAGCCTACTTCTTCCTCTGCCTGTCTCTACCTCTCTTTCTCTGTGTCTCTCTCATGAATAAATAAATAAAATCTTTAAAAACAACAACAAAAAAACCAAATTTGTTCAGCTGTAAAAATATTTTTAGTAATGGTATCCTATTTTTTCTATACTTGATTTAAAAAGATCTACCACAGCTTTAAAAAGATAAAGAAAAATAAAAACAGCAGTAAAGGGAATAAAGAAAATAGACATAGGGCTGCCTGGGTGGCTCAGTGGTTGAGCGCCTCCCTTTGGCTCAGGTTGTGATTCTGGAGTCCTGGGATCGAGTCCCACATTGGGCTCCCTGCATGGAGCCTGCTTCTCTCTCTGCCTGTGTCTCTGCCTCTCTGTGTGTGTGTCTCAAGAATAAATCTTAAAAAAAAAAATAGACATAATAAAATATAAGCACAAAAAGATAACAGCAATAACTTTTTGTCAGCTGTAACGGAAATGGATCTACTAACTTAGTAGATCAAGAAAATTTTATCCTAAACTGAAGAAAGATGAGAAGCAAAGTGACCAATGTTAAAAAAGCCATGCAAAAGGTTAGGGAATTAGTGGCACCAGATACTTTTGAAGGGAGAAGTGGAGGGTAAAAATGAGGCTAAAAAAAGGGAGACTGGCTAAAAGTCAAGAAGCAGTTAGGCCATCAAATCTATTCTATGCACCTAAGCAATTGCCCCTTCTATACCATAGCAGAGTCTTAAATTTTTGTGAAGGTAAAACAGATTTTAGTTCAGACTTCTGTGGACTGGAGGGCACTAGGCACAGCTGAGACAAGGAATGCCATAGCGAGAACGGGATTAAGTTTTACACAGGCTGATGTTAAGATCCCCAGATTCCAGAATTCAGGTAGTCAGGTTTATTCCTCCAGGTAGGAGACCAAGACTACAAAGATTCTTTGGGTAATTCTAGTCATACATGAGAAAAGATCAAATGACACTGATGTGAGAGATTATTCAAAGAATAACCCTACTAGATCACCCCACAGTGGAGCCATTTTTTTTTTTTTTAAGATTTATTTATTTTGAGAGAGGGAGTGAGCGAGCATGTGGACATGTATGTGGGAGACGGGCAGAGGGAGAATCTCAAGCAGACTCCTAGCTGAACACAGAGCCTGATGCAGGGTTCAGTCTCACCACCTTGAGATCATCCACTTGCATAGACCTTCTAACAGGTCTTTTATCATATGCAACAAACAGCCAAGGATAACCAAGGAGAAAAGGAACTAATGTGAAAGTAAGCATAATTTCTGAGACTTAAAAAGATGTTATTGCAAAGATTAAACACGAAAAGGAAGGTGGGGGGGGGGTGGCCAGAGAACAGAAAACAGCTCTTACAAATTAAAAATGCCATATCTAGAATGAAAAACTCAATATAACTCAATAAGAAAAAACAGAAACCAAAAAGTTCCAAATTTGGATAGTAAATCAGAAAATGAGAAAAGAGAAAATGGAGGAGGAAGTAAAGTATTAAACAAATCATAGAAAATTTCCCAGGACTAAAAAATCAGCATTCCAGATTTAAAGAGCCCACTGAAAGCCCAAGATGAAAATAATCATCAAGACACATCTTTGTGAAATTATTTTTTTAAAGATTTTATTTATTAATGAGAGACACAGAGAGAGGCAGAGACACAGGCAGAGGGAGAAGCAGGCTCCATGCAGGGAGTCTGACTAGGGACTCAATCCCAGGTCTCCAGCATCAGGCCCTGGGCAGAAGGGGGCACTAAACTGCTGAGTCACCCGGGCCGCCCATCTTTGTGAAATTTAAGAAAAATGGATAGGAAAAGATCCTAAAAGTTTCCAGAAAGAAACAAAATTCGTAAATGACCTAGAATCAGTGTGGTAGAAAAGCAGTGGAGTTCTCAGTAACTCTAGAAGACAGAAGACAATGGAGTAATGCCTTCAAAATTGTAAAGGAAAATAATTTGCAATCTAGAATACCATTCCTAAATTACTGAGTATGAGGCTATGATAAAAACATTTTAGATATAGGAGTTATCAAAAAGTTTACCATCTATATACCTCCTCCTCAGGAAGTTCACTAAGAATGCTCTCGAACAAATTAAGGAGTTAACAAAGAAAGGGGAAGACATACGACCTAGGCAATAGGAGATCCAATACTAGAGAAGAGCAAAATGGACGTCCAGGATGATGGTAAAGAGAAATCCTAAAACAATGGCAGTACAGTAGGCCTAGAGAGAAGCCGGTCTATATTGGAACAGATTAGAGGGCTCAAGTACTTAACATATTTGACACATAACAAGAGCAGATTTACAATAAAATAAAGTTTAGCATTTAACAATCAATCAAATCTTACTGAAACAATACAGACTCTCAGGACTTGTAGATCAGATCATTATCTTGGACTATGATGAGACTATCACAATATTGTTATTCTAGGAGATTCTGCTCAGCCAATTGCTAAAACGTCCTTGTGTGTTATTTATTCTGATCTCTAATTTATAGAAATAAAACTTCATTTCCTTTTTTTTTTTTTTTTAAAGATTTTATTTATTCAGAGAGAGGCAGAGACACAGGCAGAGGGAGAAGCAGGCTCCATGCAGGGACTCAATCCCGGGACTCTGGGATCACGTCCTGGATGAAGGCAGATGCTCAACCTGCTGAACCACCCAGGTGTCCCAAAATTTCATTTCCTTTACAGACATAACATAATCATATTTACTTTTAAAAACTCAAAACCATGAATGATATATTCTTGGGGAGAAAAACCCAAATCGAACTTGATCTATCTACACATCTCACCACCAGTTTATAGAAAATATAGAGGATGGAAAAGCATGTTAAACAACATTCAGAAATGTAATCAGCTAAATCCAAAATGTAGAAAATTCTATAGGATAAATGAAAGGGAAAAAAAGGAGGACTGAAAGAGACTTAGGAGAGACAGCAACTAAATGCAATGTTAAGGACTGTGTTAGATCTTGAACAACTATAAAAAAAAAATGAGATGATCAGGAAAACTTGAACACTAACTGAAAATCTGAAGATTTTAAGAAATTACCATTAATTTGTGTAAGTGTGAATATGGTATCATGATTATGATTTAAAAACTAGAGTTCTTACTGCTTAGAAGAAGCATATTTAAGTATAAAATGCTTTGTCTAAGATAGACTTGGAAATAATTCAGCAGAAAGGGCTACAGATGTAATAAGATGTTAAATGTTGAAGCTGAACAAGGGGTACATGTAGACATGTAGATTTCACTGTTATTCTACTATTGTGCATGTTTGAAATTTTGCAAGGAAAAAAACTTTTTTTTTTTTTTTGAGAGAAAGCCAGCCAGAACAGGGGGTGGTGCTAAGGGAGAGGGAGAATCCCAAGCAGGCTCAACACTCTTCACAGAGCTCCACATGGAGCTCGACCTCATGACCCTGAGATCATGACCTGAGCCGAAACCAAGAGTCAGATATTTAACTGAGTCACCTAGGCACCCCTGTATTATTACTTTTTTTAAGATTTTATTTATTTATTCATGAGAGACACACAGAGAGAGAGAGGCAGAGACACAGGCAGAGGGAGAAGCAGGCTCCCTGCAGGGAGCCCAACGTGGGACTTGATCCCCAGACCCCAAGATCACACCCTGGTCAAAGGCAGACACTCAACCACTCAGCCACCTCTTTAATAAACAATTTTTAAAAACTGAATGTATCTTACCGCTGGGTAGTCGAAGAGAAGACCACACATCCTGAGCTCCCCAGTCTGGAGTGAGTGGAGGGCAGTTGATAACTGGGTATGCAGTGTTGCCAGACATCACTGGACCCAAACCATTGCTTCTGCCTGCCACTGCCACAAATACAGTAGGAATGCCATCCCCTAGGGAAATTACACGTTTGTAATTGAATTGAAAGGACATTTTAAGTTAGATTAAAACAAAATCCTGTATATCTTAACACCTTCAGTTCCTTTATTATCAGTCTTAGAAAAAGCATAAATAAGACAATATACGTTTCACTTTACCATCTATTATATCAAAGTAGCAAGAATAGGTCTGGCCATCTTTGAGGTTTATAGTACAAACAGGGTACCAGCGTGCCAGTGAGGGAATGGCTCAAAGGCCTGGCTCACCGAAACAAAGAATGATACCACTTGAACCAGTGTCCATCCTGGTGTATTTCAATCAACAGGGTAGAGAAAGACCTTGTTAATGGAGACTAAAGGTTCAGGAGCACATTTGAATGAAGGCAGGCAAATTCAGTAATATAGTACCCAAATATTTAAGACCCCTCAATACATTTTCTAACATATCTATTAAACATTTCATTCTTTGATATATTTATGTTAATCCTTTGTTTCTTACCACAGAGATTCCTAACCTGGAATCCAAAATTGTATTTATTTTTACTTTTCTGAGGAAAGAGTTCAGGCTTTCATTAGCTTAAAAGAGGTCTAAGAACTTATCCCAGTTCCCTGCCCCGTTCCCAAACCTTAATATGTTCCTGTAATAACTATCTTTAGAAAAAAATAAACATTTTTCCCAGTTGAGAAACATTTAGTTATGTCTCTAGGACTCCATTATTTTAGATCGATACTATCCCATCAAGGCATGTATGTATGTATTTATTTATCTATTGAAAAAGACTTTATTTATTTATTTTTATTTACTTTTTAACAAATTTTTTTAAAGATTTTTTAATTTATTTATTCATGAGAAACACAGTGAGAGAGAGAGAGGCAGAGACACAGGCAGAGGGAGAAGCAGGCTCCATGCAAGGAGCCTGATGTAGGACTCGATCCCGGGTCTCCAGGATCACACCCTGGGCTGCAGGCAGCACTAAACCGCTGCACCACCGGAGCTGCCCCCTTTATTTATTTATTGAGACACACACAGAAAGAGGGAGAGACACAGGCAGAGGGAGAAGCAGGCTCCCTATGGGGAACCTGATGTGGGACTCAATCCCCAGACCTCGGGATCACACCCTGGTTAAAGGCAGATGCTCAACACTGGGCCACCCAGGTGTCCCAAGGCATTTCTTTTATATACTAAATTATAAAATTATACCTTAGTTTTATGTCTAACTACCTTTTAGGAAAGGCTGATCATTATAAATATTTGAAAGGACCTACTACCTCAACTAAAATTGATGTGGGGCCTATTTTCTGTTGAAGCAAATTAGAAACAATACTTCAGGGGCTTATTAGGTATAGATTCATTCTGGCTCTTATTTTCCTTTCATGTCTCCCTTTTTCTTGGTGGGTGGGGGCCTCTCCTATTTTTTTTTTTTTTGACTTTTTTTTTTAAGATTTTATTTATTTGACAGAGAGAAAGAAAGTACAAGCAGGTTGAGTGGCAGGCAGGGGGAGAGGTCTGAGAGGCAAGCCCCTTGAGAAGCAGGGATCTTGGGGGCGGGGGGTGGGTGGGAGGGGGGCTTGATCCCAGGACACTGGGATCATGATCTGAGCCAAAGGCAGATGCTTAACCGAGTCAGGTGCCCCTATTTTTTTTTTAATTTTTATTTATTTATGATAGTCATATAGAATGAGAGAGAGAGAGGCAGAGACACAGGCAGAGGGAGAAGCAGGCTCCATGCACCGGGAGCCCGACGTGGGATTCGATCCCGGGTCTCCAGGATTGCGCCCTGGGCCAAAGGCAGGCGCTAAACCGCTGCGCCACCCAGGGATCCCGAGGTGCCCCTATTTTTGATATATTTTTTTTAAAAACCTGAATAAAACCTGAATGTCATCGACACACAATATTGTATGATTTTCAGGTACACCCATGTTGCATTTTCAATTCTTTCTCCCTGAGCCATTCTTTTATAAGTGCCTAAAGCACCTTACACTCTTTGGAAGTGAGTATCATGAAAGCCTAGACTGTCATTTTTCCCCTTGAAAATGTGGCCAATTCTTTCTCAGTATTAGTCAAAATACAAGATTTATTGGCAAAATCAGAAGAACTTCCCGAAATGCTCTAGTTATGTGACATTTACCTTCATACTCTGCTTTAATCCTCAGAGTTTCATCTGGTCCTTTATGGGCAGATGTTACCCGAAGTTCACACGGAATGCCAAAATTTCCACAAGCCTTTTGGATTTTTTCACAGTGACTGAGATCAGAAGTTGAGCCCATCAATACTACAACTCTGCACTGACTTTCTGATTTTAGAAGCAACTGGAAAGGAAAAACATGGATATGCAAAAGAAGATGGCAAAATGGATACAGAAATGAATACCACAAGAATAATAATCAGTTTACAGAGCTAGAGGAGAGTAAAATTACAACTGGAGAGAATATTTAATAGACCAAATTCAAGACAGAGACAAACAGGACAAAAGGATAGAGTATTTATTTTTCAAAATAACCTTTATATAAAGAAAAGCAGTCTTCATAATTAAGATCTAAAAAGATTTTTAATCAGATAGATTATATTTTATAATAAAATTATATAAGCTATTATAAATAAAAGGCAAAGAATCACTAATTAATTTCAGAAAGCTATAATATAAAATATTTCATCCTAAGATTTTTTTTTTAACATTTTATTTATTTATTCATGAGAGACACACAGAGGCAGAGACATAGAGGGAGAAGCAGACTCCATCCAGGGAGCCTGATCCAGGACTCAATCCTAGGACCCCGGGATGACCTGAGCTAAAGGCAGATGCTCAACCACTGAGCCACTCAGGCATCCCTCATCCTCAGATTTTTAGTACATTGCGTTTAATGGAGACTTTCAGGCATAATGAGCCAAAATAAAGAGATTATATCATAAACCTTTAAAGTTAGTTGCTTAGGGCAGCCCGGGTGGCTCGGCAGTTTAGTGCCGCCTTCAGCCCAGGGTCTGATCCTAGAGACCTGGATCAAGTCTAACGTCAGGCTCCCCGCATGGAGCCTGCTTCTCCCTCTACCTGTGTCTCTGCATCTCTGCCTCTCTCTTTCTCTGTGTGTCTCTCATGAATAAATAAAATCTTAAAAAAATAAAAAATAAAGTTAGTTGCTTAAAATTCAAAATGCTTGTTTCCATGGAAATTATGTTTTGAAAACTGGCTGTGACCCTTGGATAACTGCAAATCCCATTCAATTACCATGGAATTACAGTGATTGTAATACCATAAATCTTAAAAAAAAAAAAAAGATTTGAGAGATAGCAAGCACACACACACACACACACACACACACACACAGGAGCAAGCAGAGTGGGAGAAAGAATCTTAAGTAGACTCCCCACTGAGCACAGAGCCTGACTTGGGGCTTGATCCCAGGACCCTGAGATCATGACCTGAGCCAAAATGAAGAGTTGGACACTTAACCAACTGAGCCACCCGGCACCCTGATAATACCATAAATCTTTTTTTTTTTTTTTACCATAAGTCTTAAAGTAACATTTTAATGTCACATGGAATTCTAATTCTGAACTCTACTTCTGAAACCCATGCTAGTAGAACTCTGAATAGCAGTGGCAAGGTGGGTAGGAAATGTAAGGGGCAGGGAGAAGACAAGGATTCTAGGTTTCCCCAATAGAATTTGGGAGTATACTGGCCAGTTCAACAGCAGAGGGTTTCAATATATTATTGAGAACAGTTTAGGTGGTACATTTCTTAAAAGTGCTCCTTTAAAAACAAAAACTACTGGAGAAAAGGGCGCTTGGTGGTTCAGCTGATTGAGTGGCTGACTCCTCATTTTGGGTCAGGTCATGATCTCGGGGTCCTGGAATTGAGCCCTCTATCAGGTTCTGTGCTCAATGGGGAGTCTGCTTAAGGATTCTCTCTCTCCCTCTGCCCCTCCTCCCACTTGCACACACATTCTACAATAAATACTAATTTAAAAAAACCCACTGGAAAAAAGAAAACTGCACCATCTCACTTTTACTTTCCTTTAAAAAAAGAAAAACGATTTTATTTATTTATTTGGAGAGAGAGTTGGCAAGCAGGGGAGGGGCAGAGGGAGATGAAGAAAGAATCTTAAGCAGACTCCATATCAAACGCCAAGCCTGAGGTGGGGTTCGAATCCATGATCCTAATATCCTGAGATCATGACTCGAACTGAAATCAACAGCATGATACTCAACAGACTGAGCCACCCAGGTGCCCCTATTTTGCTTTTTGAAGCAAGATCTTGGAGAAAAATACAGAACAGCATGGGTTTATTATAAAAGTTTTACCTCTACTCTTTCTGCAACCCACTCAAAATTTTTCTTCACCATCTGGAGCCCTTCTGGAGTTACTTCCTTGAGGTCACGATATGACTAGAAAATAATAAGGTAGAAAGTTTAGAATACAGATATTCTATTAATAATATTCTTGCTAACTGAAATTACTTGATTTTGGAGTTTGGGGTAGATTATGAAAAGCTTGCATAGCAAGGAATATATCTAAAAATATATGTAAACCTATAAATCCTTTTCCTGAATTAGACTAGAAAAAGTTCATTTAAGGATAAGTGCTTTCTACACTAGCAACTACGATTAAGTGCCTTGTGCAATTCTTACGTAGTGTACAGAATATCTGTTCTAATTTCGTTTTCATAGGACAGAGCAGAAATGGAATCTGATAAGATCCACCACACTTGGGACAGAGTTCCAGATCGGCCACTCATTCTTATAATTAGGAAGATAGCAATCATCCTCTCAGTACCTTAGAGGATGGCCAAAGAAGGATGACACCTGCTCTGTGTGATGGTCATAATATATGAGAAATCTGTTTTGGAAAGTATTGTTCCTATTTTTTTCTCAGGATATAGAAAATATAAGAGGCATTTATCTTTTTTTTTTTTAAGGTTTTATTTATTTATTCATGAGAGGAGGGAGAGAGAGAGAGAGAGAGGCAGAGACACAGGCAGAGGGAGAAGCAGGCTCCATGCAGGGAGCCCAATGTGGGACTCAATCCCGGGAGCCCAGGATCATGCCCTGGTCCGAAGGCAGCACCAAACCACTGAGCCACTCAGTGATCCCGAGATATTTATCTTTAAGAGTAAATAGCAATCAACTCAGGTTCTTATCATATGGAAAAATAACTGCCTTTTCTTTCCCATCTTTCTATTCACCTCTATCCCAGCCTGATCTTGCAAAGGATAAAAAAAAAAATCCTGAAGCATTACCTGTTTGTCTTTCTGTTGGCTTCGATCTCCTGATGGCCAGAGTCTCCAGGAATCATTATCAATAACATCAGCAAGAACAATTTCTTTGGTGGTTACATCAACACCAAATTCAATCTAGAAATAGCATATCACCAAAGAAAAGTTTTCAAAACTCTACAACTAACGACATTTATCAGTTATAATCTTTCCTCTCAAAATTCCATTTTATTTGTACCTTCATATCAACCAGTGTACAGTTTTGGGGCAACCAGGATTTCTCCAGTATTTCAAAAATAGCCTGTGTAGCATGACTCATGATATCCACTTCAGTCTGGCCTATAACAAGGCCAGCAAAGCAAAATTTTGCAGCAATTAGCTGTTCTTCAGACCACTGTGGATCATTATTGGCATCATCCTGAAAATAAAGTATAGGAGTACTATTACTTTAAATATGAAAATTATGAACTTTTGAGATAAACTAAAGCCCTTTTTCCCTTGACCATGAATTCCTCAGAAATATTTTCTCTAAAAACTTTTTTTATTAAAATGCCCCTTAATTCACAATTGTTTTTAATTTGTCTAGTTTTATTTTTTAAAGATTTATTTATCTATCTATCTATCCATTCATTCATTCATTCATTCAGAGAGAGAGAGAAAGACAGGCAGAGGGAGAAGCGGGCTCCATGCAGGGAGCCCGACATGGGACTTGATCCTGGGTCTCCAGGATCACGCCCTGGGCCACAGGGAGCGCTAAACCGCTGCGCCACCAGGGCTGCCCAATTTGTCTAGTTTTAATAGCTACTTTAAAATTCAAGATATTCAGTGAGTAACTTATTCTAGGTGATGAAGTATTTGAAAGAATTTGCTCTCTTTACATAAACTAAGTTTGTGATTTTAATGTTTTCTTCATGAGTCAACAGATAGTAAGAAGACCAAACCACATTTTAGCTCACTAAATCTTTCTAGAAGGCAATTTTCATAATCTCCCAATCTTTTTTCTTTTTTTAAAGATTTTAAATAATGTCTACACCCAACATGGGGCTTGATCTCACAATCGTGAGATCACGAGTCACATGCTCTACTGACTGAGCCAGGCCTCATTTTTATTTTATTTCTTAAAAGATTTTATTTATTTATTCATGAGGGATACAGAGAGAGAGGCAAAGACACAGGTAGGGAAAAGTAGGCTCCTCGCAGGGAGCCCGACATGGGACTCAGTCCCGGGACCAGGATCATGCCCTGAGCCAAAGGCAGACAGACGCTCAACCACTGAGCCACCCAGGTGTCCCTTGATCTCGTTTTTAATAAGAATTTATATAAGACTACAAGTGTTTTAAGGATATTATTTGATAATTCAAGAGACTTCATATTAAGCCATTAGTAAAAAAAAAAAATAATAACTTTCATGTTATTCTAAGTAGTGTCCCAATTTCACATGAAAAATTCTTTTCATTTCAGGTTTTATTCATTTATCTGAGAGAAAGAGACAGAGATAGTGAGAAAAAGCACAAGTAGGGAGGAAAGGGAGAAGCAGGCTCCCCACTGAGCAGGGAGCCCGATGTGGGGTTCAATCCCAGGACTCTAAGATCATGACCTGAATCACAGGCAAATGCTTAACTGATGAGCCACCCAGGTGCCCCTGAAAATTTTCTTTTATGAATTCTAGATTTGTATTATATAAACATTTCAAGGTGTGCAGTTTACTGATTACACTTGATCTAGGCTAAAAGGCTGAGAGGCAATTTCAGCTCACTGTTTAAAAATGCTACAGGGATCCCTGGGTGGCGCAGTGGTTTAGCGCCTGCCTTTGGCCCAGGGCACGATCCTGGAGACCTGGGATCGAATCCCACGTCGGGCTCCCGGTGCATGGAGCCTGTTTCTCCTTCTGCCTGTGTCTTTGCCTTTCTCTTTGTGTCTCTCATGCATAAATAAATAAAATCTTTAAAATAAAAATAAAAATAAATAAAGGAAAAAATGCTACAGAAACATTACTTCTGACTTTGGAACTATGCATAAACAAAGAGGAAAAGAGACAAGCAGTTTCAATAAAGAAAACCAATACAAACTTTTAACAACTGATTCCTACATCTTTAGTGGTTTTGCTTGTAAGACACATCAGTAATAGTTTTTCTGTATCTGAATATAAAAAGATCCCTTGTATTTGCTTTTACTTCAAACTCTTTAATGAAGAATTTAAAAAATTTCTGAATTTTCTTCCTAATCACTGCATTTTATTTTTCAAAATTTTTATTTTTTAATTATTTTTTAATTTTTTTATTTAGTTATGATAGTCACAGAGAGAGAGAGAGAGGCAGAGACACAGGCAGAGGGAGAAGCAGGCTCCATGCACCGGAAGCCCGACGTGGGATTCGATCCCGGGTCTCCAGGATCGCGCCCTGGGCCAAAGGCAGGCGCCAAACCGCTGCGCCACCCAGGGATCCCTAATTTTTCAAAATTTTTAAAAAAGATTTTGTTTTAATAACATTAAATCTTTTTTGACTTTGAAATTACATTTGTTGCTATATTATAGTAAGACACAGAAGCATAAAATAATTACCTTGAAAAACAGCTCCACTTTAGGTGGGTAAAATTTATATCCTTCTTTGACACCAGGATTTCTTTTGAGAAAAGAACCAGTTGCTATTCTTCTACAAACCCATTCAATTGGAATCATCTCACATTTAGGTGCAATGAAAGCTGTCTCCCCACACATTCTGGTGAAAGCAGTTTTGATACCTATATATTGATAAAAAGTTTTTAAAAAAAAGCATTAAAATTGTATTTAAAAAGGTAGATGTGAGGTATAATAAACTACTATTTACAAAAAAACAAATGAAAAAACTTTATCCAGCCAAATGCATTATCCCTAAATGACACTATCAAAAATAATTTTTTAAAAAGTACAAGTAGAAAAATTATTAATATGCTTAATATTGATAAGCTTAATGCTTACCAAAATATTTAGGAATATTTCATTTTAATGTTGCCTGGCATTATGGCAAAACATAATGAATGTCTTTACCATTCATTTATTCATACATTCAAAAAATACCTATTGAGTAACTTCTGCTACGGCTTACCTAACTTTGCATAAAGCATGTAACTCATTTAAGTGATGCTAAATTATCTTTAAACCAAATTTGGTTATATGATTTTCACATTTTACAGTCCAGTATTAAATGAGCCTTATAAAATAGAATATCAGTCTACTTATCACAATCAGATACAGCCCTAAGTTTTAGATCACCCTTTTCTCTTATATTTGAAGAAAATAATCCCTGAAAAAACCATATCCAACAGGTGGCAGCAGGAACATAGTGGCCAATTTGGTGAAGAGCAAAGAAAACACTTATTCTTCCTTTCCCTTTTTTTTTTTAATTTTTTTTTTATTTACTTATGATAGAGAGAGAGAGAGAGAGAGAGAGAGAGGCAGAGACACAGGCAGAGGGAGAAGCAGGCTCCATGCACTGGGAGCCCGATGTGGGATTCGATCCCGGGTCTCCAGGATCGCGCCCCGGGCCAAAGACAGGCGCCAAACCACTGCGCCACCCAGGGATCCCCTTCCTTTCCCTTCTATTTGACTCAAACTGTTACTGGAAAACCAAGATAAAAAGCTAGCTAGTGATGGGAGCTGTTTTATTTAGGGGCTTTGGAAAATAATTTCTCTGATCTTAGTTATGATATATCATGAACTATATGATCCAGCAATTCTACTTCTAGGTATTCCAAGTACTAACACTGCAGCCTGAAGATGAGCATTACTATGTTAACCTATACAGGTTTCCAGAAGACGTTTTAATCATGTTAATGCTACAGTATTTGTGTGCCATGTAGTAACACTTCTAGAAAAGGTAGTACTGTAAAGAATTGAAAGCAGGGACTCAAATAGATACCTGCGCACCAATGTTCACAACAGCACAGTTTACAATAGGGGGAAACAAAAAGAAAAACAAAAGGGGGGGTCCCCAGCAGTACCTGGGTTGCTCAGTTAAGTGTCTGCCTTCAGCTCAGGTCATGATCCCAGGGTCCTGGGATCAAACCCCACATGGGGCTCCCTGCTCAGCAGGAGCCTGCTTCCTCTACCCCCCACCCATGCTTTCTCTCTCTCTGCATTCTCTCTGAAATTAACAAAAATCTTTAAAAAAATGGGGGGGAGGGGGAACAACTCAAATGTCCATAAATAGATGAAAAGATAGCCAAAATATAATATATACATAAAATGAATTGTTATTCATTTTCTTCTCATTTTGAGAAGAAATAAAACTCTGATACATGCTACAACATGGATAAACCTTGAAAACATTACACTAGGGCAGTCCGGGTGGCTCAGTGGTTTAGTGCCACCTTCAGCCCAGGGCCTGATCCTGGAGACCCGGAGATCCCTGCATGGAGCCTACTTCTCCCTCTGCCTGTGTCTGCCTCTCTCTCTCTCTCTCTCTGTCTCTCATGAATAAATAAAATCTTAAAAATAAAAATACAAGAAAACATTACACTACGTGAAATAAAAGGACAAATACAGTATAAATCCACTAATATGATGTACCTAAAATAGGCAAATTCATAATCAGAAAGTAGAATAGAGGTTACCAGAGGTGGGAAGGGAGAATGGAGAGTTTTATTTAATGGGCCAGAGTTTCTGTGTAAGATGATAAAAAAGTTCTGGCAATAGAGAACTAATGTCACTGGATTTACACTGTAATATGGTTAAAATGACAAATTTTGTTATGTTTATCACAATTAACAAAAAAAATTTTTTAAGTACACTCTATGCCCAATGTGGGGCCTGAACTCAAGACCCTGAGATTAAGAGTCACATGCTCTACTGACTGAGCCAGTCAGATGCCCCAACACAATTTAATTTTAAAAAGTAGCAAGACCTACCTTTGGTCAAACATCATAAATTTGTTTTCATTTGTTTAATCCTAATACCTGAGAAGGTAGATAATATGACAAATATTCAACAAAATAGATAAGGACAAAGGCATAGTGCTTATGTCAGCTAGTATTAGATAAAGCAGTTTCCAACCAACACTATTTGAACTCTGGGCTACCCACTTAACCACTATGCTATACTACCTCTCCAAGAAGTGTTAGTATATCACAGTACAAAGTAATACAATAGAATTAACATGAATTAAAATATCTGGAAACTTGCATGGGTTCAACATAATAATGTTCATCTTTAGGCTGCAATGTTAGTACTTGCAATCCCAGTCTCATCTTCTAAAATTAATTTTTCCTTATTAGAAAACGATCAAGAATCTTTGATCATACACACACCTACACATATATATTTCCCCGCACGAGGGAATCTACATTTATGTAAGACTTGCACTGTGTTGTTTTATGTGTTATGTCATGTAACCACACATAACATTGTTCTGGTAGGTATTATTACATTTTACAATGAAAGAAACAGGCTCAAACAAGTAATATGAAAAGCTGGGTCATGTTGCCAATTAGTAATGGTGTCTGGACCAGTTTTTTTTTTTTTAAGATTTTATTTATGAGAGAGAGAGAGAGAGAGAGAGAGAGAGAGAGAGAGAGGCAGAGACACAAGGCAGAGGGAGAAGCAGGCTCCATGCAGGGAGCCTGACGTAGGACTCAATCCCAGGACTCTGGGATCATGCCCTGGGCCGAAGGCAGGCACTAAACTGCTGAGCCACCCAGGGATCCTAACCTAGACCAGTTTCAAAACCTGTATTGTATTCCCTGTACTCCCTTTGGATTTGACCAGTAAGATTTATGTGAAACAGGGAACTGTTATATGCTACATGAACAAGAACTCTGGCAAAGAATAACAGTGAGAATAAATGGTCATTTTAACCCTTAAAGAATGATTGGGCTCATGCTTATGGATAGGCAAATGATTTAAATCAATCCTGAATTATATAGGTGATAATTATATGCCGGGCTTCAAGAGTTCTCCCTTTTAAGGTCTTTGTCATATTTGCTCATTTGTCTACTAAGCTTTAAAGATCAGTATCCAAAGCTATTGTTTAAATATAAAAAAGTTACTTTTACTCAGAAGAAAACTCTTCCTTACATCTAAGAGAACCAAATGCACAGAATCAATTTACAGTAATGATCCAGCACAGGAAAAAAATTGCTTCAAAAAGAAAAGATTCAGTTTAGATGATAATAATGACTGCTTCTAATACACGTGCTAATCATATTAGCAAATGTGGGGGGGGGAGATGAGCAAAAGAACCCTCCTCACCTCTCATTGCTTACAAAATTTAAGACTCCTATCAAGATTGCTAAGCAAATGTCACTTCCTACTCTAAATTACAATGGCTGTATCTGATAGCTAATCAGCCCACATATCCTCTCATGTGTTAAGGCTGCCCGGCTCCTCATCTGTGTTTTAGCAACTGCAGGACTTCTACCCATTATCACTACTAACCCCTAAATGTAATTACAGGTTTCTGTGGGAGAATTGAGACTTAAAAGGCTAGGTTTTGATGTAAAGTATTGAGACCAAATCCACACATTTCATAACTCAGGTGTAGCACATATAATATTATTTCCATGGAAAATCACTATGTCGGGCAGCCCCGGTGGTGCAGCGGTTTAGCGCCGCCTGCAGCCTGGGGTGTGATCCTGGAGACCCGGGATCAAGTCCCACATCAGGCTTCCTGCATGGAGCCTGCTTCTCCCTCTGCCTGTGTCTCTGCCTCTCTCTCACTCTCTCTGAATGAATAAATAAAGAAATCTTAAAAAAAAAAAAGAAAAACAGTATTTCTTGTATCTGTTATTTGTATAGTATTTTAAAGTTTGCTTATGTTGACAATGAAAAAAACTAGAATCCGTGAACACCAATAAAAAATAAATTTATAAAAATAAAATAAAAAAAAGAAAAAAAATAGAATGCTGATTTACCAGATCTCATTTGGTGCTCTTCCCATTCTAACTTCTAGAAATAGCTTAATTAAGAATATAATCTTGATTATAAAGAAAGCAATTTTAAATAGTCCTTTGGTGGTCAGCTAGGCACACCATTTATTTATCTATCAGCAAGTAAAAATTCAATAAGGCAACAGAATTCCTAATCTGTCTTCTAAAACAAATCTAAGGGGACATCTAGGTGGGTCAGTGGTTGAGCATGCCTTTGGCTCAGGGTATGATCCCAGTCGAGGGACTGAGTCCCGTATCAGGCTCCCTGTGAGAAGCATGCTCCTGCCTCTGTGCCTCTGCCTCTCTGTGTCTCTCATGAATAAATAAAATCTTTAAAAAATCAATCAATCAATCAAATCTAGGGATTTTTAAAAACTTAAGTTTTCCTTAATTTCAGTGTACAAAACCTGAAAAATACTTTCAACATTTCCTGTGAACCAAGTTAAGTTTTAGTTAAGTGTGCCAAATACAGTAGTTTAAAGATAATTGTTGGATTACTTCACCTAGGATGACAAACTTTCTCAGCTTTCTCAGATGTAGGACTTTCAGAGTCAAAACTGGGAAACTTCTGGACAGATAATTTGGGTTACCTTAATTCACTTTTTGTTAAGCCCTAGAAAGTACACTGAGTAAGCAAATAAAAACTTGGGCCTGTAAATATCTTCCATTACTTAAAGGTAAATAAATAAATAAATAAATAAATAAATACACACACACACACACACACACACACACACACACACAGTATATATAAAACCAGATAGCTATGTGTAACTACTATGGGTACGCACGAGCTAATTTTTTTATTGTTAACAATTTATAGTATTAGAAAACTTTCTAAAATTGTAATATGCATAGGGAAAAGGAGATAACTTGGCAAGTTTAAAATGGATCACTTATCTGTTTTGCAAAAACGAATATAAAATTAGTTTGATGCTCTCTATAGAAATTTACTCAGTTACTGAGAAACCACCAATCAAGGAAGCCTTGAAATAAAAATCCTAAAACCTGGGACACCTGGGTGGCTCAGCGGTTGAGCATCTGCCTCAGGGCGTGATCCCAGATTCCCAGGTTCAAGTTCCACATCAGGCTCCTTGCAGGGAGCCTTCTTTTCCCTTTGCCTGTGTGTCTGCCCCTCTCTCTCTGTATCTCTCATGAATAAATAAATAAAATCTTAAAAAAAAAAAAATCCTAAAATCTTATTACTTAGGAACTGTGGGTAGTCCTTTAAACTTCTAACATACTTTCTATATAGAGGGATTTATGATGTGGATGACAAATTAAGTTGGCAATGAACCATTTTTTTCCCTCATTGATTTAAAAAGCGTTCAACAGAAAACTAGGAAAGAGGCAAAACTATTCAATAACCCATTATGTACTGACAGAATTGACTTAACTTGAATCACCTTGTTATTTTGTGGTAAGCAGGTATATCTATCTTGACTGGAAATAAAGGTATTAAATTCCCCTTTGGGATTCAAAAAGATTAATTTAAGAGAGATTATGGACATACCTTGAATAATTGTGGGTTCGGTTCCACACTACCACAATACATCAAATTAATTTTTTGGTTTTCCAGTGCACATACAAGTTATATTTATACTATACTGTGGTCTACTAAGTGTGTGATAGTATGGTATCTAAAAAAGGATATATTTTATGTTAAAAAATTCTTCATTGTTAAAAAATGCTATCATCTGAGCTTTCAGCAAGTTGTGATCACTGATCATAGTTCACCATAACAAATCTAATAATGAGAAAGTTAAAATACTGAGAGAATTACCAAAATGTGCTAGCAATATGAAAAGAACAAATGCGGGGATCCCTGGGTGGCACAGCGGTTTGGCGCCTGCCTTTGCCCCAGGGCGCGATCCTGGAGACCCGGGATCGAATCCCACGTCGGGCTCCCGGTGCATGGAGCCTGCTTCTCCCTCTGCCTGTGTCTCTGCCTCTCTCTCTCTCTCTCTCTCTGTGTGATTATCATAAATAAATAAAAATTAAAAAAAAAAAAAGAAAAAAGAAAAAAGAAAAGAACAAATGCTGTTGGAAAAATGGCACCAACAGAGTTTTTCAGTGCAGAGGCAGGTTTGCCACAAACCTTTGTTAAAAAGAAAAAATAAAAGGCAATATCCACGAAACACAATAAAGTGCAATAAAACAGGGTAGGACTGTAATGCTTACAGGAAATTCTAAGCAATGAAAAGGGCAACTGGGTAGTAAAAGGAGACAAAATTATTAAATTATAAAATTAGAACTGGGATTGTAAAAACAAAGCTTTTATTTTATAGATAAGGAACTAGAGCCTTCAAAGGTTGAATGATCCAAGACAATGAAGTCTTCCGCTGGAAGAGCTTAAATCTTTTCTTAGCGGAGATATCATATACTACAGACAAATCAGCCCTGTCTGAATCCCTGCAGAAAGGTCCATTATCTCATTCCCCTTTCTTTACTCCAGTGCCTTTCAAAGAATGTTCTGATCTCATCTTTTTGTCTTTATAGGAAATAGTCTTCTTTCAGTTTCAGAGTAGGGGGTAACCTTGGAGATCTTGGATTCTAGTTCAAACCCCTCCCTCACTTGGGGCACAATGAGAAGGTGTGGTGGCAACCTTCAAATACTTTTCAGGGCTTTCAGCTGGAAAAGGGATTTGAAATTTTGTCTTATCTCTAAGGAGCAAAGAATATAGAATTACAGGTACCAAATTTCAATTATTCAATTAAAGCTGCCTAATCCGAGAATGGGCCTCCTTTATAGGCAAGTCTCTCCTAGGACATCTTCCTAGAAGACAAAGTTAGAGAAGATATGCATGCCAGATAAAAACTGTGGCAAAATATTAGGAGGCCTTAACTAAATGATACCACTTACTAATTCCAAATTAAAGTGCTATAGTAAAATTTATGAGTTCCTGGTTTAAGTAACCTTAGCTTTTGAGACATCCTCAAAGGACATGTTCTCAATGCAAATAATGTCATCTCCCCATGAAAGAGATCAGAGTATGCTCTGTGTGTGTATGCACTCAAAAGGGAGGAGACTATGGGGGGGAGCCACTTATCTGCTTTTACATTAACAGCTGAAAAATATAGCAGGTGGTCAACATGTTGTTAATCCAAATAACGCCATTTCTCTATGAAAGGACCAATAGGTGTGTGTGTGTGAGGGAGAACATGAAAAGGGAAGTTATTGAGAGAGCCACTTACCTGCTTCCTTTAACAACTGAAAAATACAACTGGTAGTTTTATTTGAGATTGCAGCTTTTCCTTCCAGGTGATTCTTTCTGGCTGCATTTCCTGCTGTAATCTGGTCCTTGGACTGCAGGAGGACTTTTCCTGGACTATCAAGCAATTCATAGACTTCTTTTGTTTTACCCTCATAGAGTTTTTTACCAATATTCAGTACTGTGGAAATAAAATGGGAGACATCAGATTTCAGAAAAAAGTTTTCTGACTGAAGACTAAGTTACCTAGAATGATCAAGCACAGAACATACAGAATAGTTAAGGAATAATGTTAGTAAAAATTCATTCATCTGCATAGTACCTTATTTTCACAGGCTTCATATTTAATTCACATAATTTTGAGACAAACTGTAATCACATAAATAGAGTTGACTCTTGAACTACGTGGAGTTTAGGGTTGAAAATCTGCATGTAACTTTTACTCCCTAAAAACTTAATAGCCTACTGTTGATCAGAAAGCTTGCTGATAACATTAAATGGCCGATTAACACAATTTTCTAAATTATATCTATCTTACGCTGTATTCTTACAATAAACTAGAGAAAAGAATAAAATCTTAAGAGAAAATATTTTTGCAGTTCTGTGTGGTATTTATCGAAAAAAAAAAAATCCAAGTGTAAGTGGACCCGTGCAGATCAAACCCAAGCTGTTGAAGGGACAACTGTATCAAGATTAGAAAACTAAGTATCAAAAAGGTAGAGGCCCTGCAGATAGGAAATGGCAGAGCTACACAATATCCTCTGTCTTCTGAGATGATATTCTTTGCTCTTTCTACTATCAACCCTTCTCTCACAGCAGAACTAAAGTAGAACTAATTTACATTAAATTAATGTAACCTACAAATAGTATTTGCATTTTTATATATTCACAATACAATAATTAAACTAGCTTGTAGATGAAAAAATACTTTATTTTTTGTGACTTTTGCTTGGCATGGCAGGCAAAATGGGAAAGTTCAGCCAGAAGGGTTTCTTGATTTTTGAAGTGCAAGAGGAGGCACCACTTCCCACTGAGGTTAGTCAATTTCCAAGTACCTCTATTTCTTAATCTTTCTCCCCTATCCCCCAGTGTTAATCCTTCCTCCATACTAATAGATGTGAGACACTGTGAGGAAGTAAGGACAAGGGAACCCAATTTGATGCAGGTCACAGACCTATAAAAAGGTAGACTGGTCATCTGAAAGAATGATTTAGATGAAGATGAGAGATACAGAAGTTTAAGTACTTAAAATTTCCAAGGGGAGAAATCACCCCTCATGCTCCCAGATCATGGACTCATTCTCAGTATTGGCATTTTTTAATGTCCATGTGCCAGGTATACTAGGGATATACCAATAAACAAGACAGAATGAATTCCTACTCTCAGGCAACAGGAGTCTGAGGAAAGCTGAAATTAAACAGGATATCATAATAAGATGTGAGAAGTACAGACACAGATCACAGGTTCATAGCAGTCCTACCCAACCTAGTCTAGACACCAGAGAAGGAAGTCTGGAACAAAGTGAGGTTTAGGTTGAGATCTGAGGAAGGATAAACATTTAGCCAGAAGAGGGAAAGGGGTTGGTAGTGGTGGTGAAAAAAAGACCATGGGAAAGAGTGCATGGCAGGACTATAGAATGGTTGGAGCATGGGAATCCCTGGGTGGCTCAGCAGTTTAGTGCCTGCCTTCGGCCTAGGAGTTCCAGGATCCAGATCAAGTCCCACATCCGGTTCCCTGCATGGAGCCTGCTTCTCCCTCTGCCTGTGCCTCTGCCCCTTTCTCTCTCTCTGTTTCATGAATAACAATAAAGTCTTAAAAAAAAAAAAGAATGGTTGGAGCACTGTGTTTATGTATACTGCTGTTGGGCAGAGGAGGGCAGAGGAGGAAGGACAGCAGCTACAGAATAGAAAGGATGGCAGGAGAACTGAGCAGTTGATAGATCACCACCTAGTGGAGGTAACCATTAATCAAACCAGTTACAATTCAGTTTAATAGTTACTGCTGCAGGGTACCTAATCTAAAGGAGGAATTCCCATCCTGTTGTACCGTCCTGACTCACAAGCTGTAAAAGGCTCCTCAAATTAGAGTCTCAGTTTAGAGCTCCAACTCTAGATTTCTCTATTCCCTTTCCAGAACTCTAAACTTCTGTAACTGAATTTCTATATCCCACTTCCAGGCTTTTGACATACGTTCCCTAGGTCCAAACACTGTTTCCTTCCCTTGAATTTTACTACTCATCCTTCAGGCTTCATACATTGTGTTGACAATGTTTAGATTTTATCCTAAGAACAAACATGTGGCTTTTAAGCATTTTAGCAAAACGACAGATTTCTATATTAAAAAGATTGTGGCTGCTGTGTGGAAAATGCAATGAAGAAAGAGTGGATAGATGAAAACCAGAGACTGAAATACCAGTTAAGATGCTGCTGCAGCAGTGCAGGCCAAGAAATGTCCTGGTCTAAGGAAAGCAGTGGAAAAAGGCTCAAGATATTAAAAAGGTAAAAGTTTTTAAGAACCACTGGCTCAACATGGGGATAAAATCAAAGATGCTCCCTAGGTCAGCTTTGGGCAAAAGAAAGTGCATACCTACCGTCCCTCCTCAATTAAGTTGAATCAGTATTTATTACTAGTTAAGCAGGGTATGAATTTCAATTAATGGGTAGAAAAAAACCATAAACAATCATAGGAGAGATTTGTTACAAGACTAATTCATGGAATCGAAATTAAATACTCTTGAAAAGTATAGGACTTCCATAGAGAGGAATAAGAAGATTAGGACTGTGCCCTCCCAATAAGGTAGCCACTAGCCACCTCTGGCTATGAAATATTCGAAATGTGGCTACTCCAAATTGAGATGCGAGTTAAGTGTAAAATACACAATGGATTTCAAGATAAAAAAAAAAAAGGATGCAAAATGTCACATATAAAAATATTGATTACTTGCTGAAACGATACTATTTTGGATATACTGGGTTAAAAAAATGTATTAAAATTCATTTTACCTGGTTCTTTTTACCTCTTAAAATGTGACTACTAGGATACAAAGTTACATATGGTTTCATATTATATTTCCATTAAGTAGCACTGTTTTACAACACACAACATAAATGAACACAGATGAACAAACCTGATGTATCACTCTGAATGGGATGTAAGCTTAGGATTTTACGAGACAGAAAATATCAAAGGGTTGCAGACATAGAAAGGAAGCAGCATGCAGGAGGTGAAAGGGGCTTCAGACTGGATTTTAATAGCTCTTGGGTTGCCCCTGAACATTTTTCAGGGAGGAAGCACCATTTAGAAATCATAAAAGTGACATTTTAGAAATATAAACCTGCCAGTTAGATTTTACCAGTGTAGATGTATAGAAGGAAAAATTGTAGTCTAACGCCTTGATTTTATAGAGTTGTTACTCGTTATCATCTGGATCGTTTCGTTTAGTCCATCAATTTTTTAGTTGAATTCAATTTTTCTGCGTGGAAGACAACGTACTAACCAGTGAACACAAGCAATTTGGTTCACCGTAAATTTAGAAATTGGGCGTGTGTGTGTGGGGGGAAGTTTTATCAGCAAAATGTCACAAACGATCTTCCCTGAGGACCTATCACTCGTAGATAAAATTGTTATGTTAATAGGATAAATGCAAAGTGAATCACGGCAACTTTTTGCTTGGGGCTTTTGGAGCTCTTCAAAGTCATTACGGCATCAAAAGACTATAACACACACACACACACACACACACACACACAATCTGGACCAAAAAAAAAAAAAAAAAGAAAGAAAGAAAATTTTCAATAGATTCAACTACTAACTTTCCGGAAATAGCGGGCCATTAGGAAAAGCAAGACTTTGAAGACTCAACACGCGTTCCCGCGATTGCTTTTGCAATACCTACTGAGGCACCTCTCCAACGCTCGGCCATTTCTCTTTCTAATCACCCTCCCTCCTCTACTTGGTTTCTTCCCCCAACCGAGAGCCAGTTCCGAGCGTTTCAGAAAAGTCTGGAGAGGCCCGGGAGCGCCGTGTTTCCTCCGCCCGGCGCGGCGGCGCCCGGCCCACGTGTCCGCCCGCCCCGCGGCCCAGGGCGGGAGGCGGCGGCGCGGAGCCCAGGCCCAGGCCCGGAGGAGGCCGCCCCGAGGGCCGCGGGGCGCGCACCGGTCGGCGCCGGGTCCGCCAGCTCCAGGCTCGCTGAGGGGGCAAGGGCGGGGAGACCGCGGGCGGCAGGGAGCCCCCGCAGACGCCGGGGGACGCGGGATACTCACCCTCCGCCGTCGCCATTATCCCGCGTGGGCTGGGGGCAGGGGACGCGCCGGGAGGAGAGGCGAGACTCTGGAAAAGAGGAGAGGTCAGAGAGGCCCCCGCGGCGGCTACAGACACACCCCCCCCGGCGGGCCTAGTACTCCGGGACGCCCGCGCGCTCCCCCCTAGCAACACGGCCGCGACGGCGCCCCGGGTGCCTCCGCCGCCAGGGAGCAACTTCGATTCGGGGATTCTACCCGCCCCCCCCCGCCACACACACACACACACACACAAAAAGGCTTCCCGCCGCGCAGGCGCGCAGGCGCACAGGCGCGGGCGCCGATCCAGAAGCGGCGGAAAGTGGCGCGCGGCGGCGGCCCCTCCCGAGTCTACCGAGGCTCGCTGACCGGCCCCTTCTCCGCAGCGGGAGCGGTTCATAGGTTGGAGCGTACCAAGTGGTGATGGCCCGGGGAAAGCAGGTGAGGAGGGGCACACAAAGGGCAGAGAAATGACGTTGGCCCCACTACTCTCCTCACCCCAGTCTGGGCTGCTCGAAAATAACGGAGGTTTCCACGCGCGGAAAAAAAAAATGCTAGTCCTTCGCGGCGGGCTCCAGGCGGAGGGTTAGCTCCACCCCGGGGGCCTGCGGCTCCGCCTCCCGGTCGCGGGGCCGCTCCCTCCCTCCTCGCTCATTGGTGGATCCTGAGGGGGCGGGGCAGGGCGGCCGGCGGGGCCGAGCTAATCACGCTTACTTTGGGAAAGCGCGCGCCGCCGCAGTAGCGAGGGTCGAGCTGCTGGGAAGGAAGCGGGCTTCTGAGGCGTACGGGCCGAGCGGCAGCTGGTTGGTGCTCAGGCCCCTGCCGCGGCGGCAGGTCTCTCCACGTGCTTTCGGCAGCGACATGGAGCTGGAGGAGTCGGGAATGCGAGAGGAATGTGGCGTATTCGGGTGCATCGCCTCAGGAGAGTGGCCCACGCAGCTAGATGTGCCGCATGTGATCACTCTGGGACTCGTGGGGCTGCAGCACCGGTGAGCAACCGGCTGAGGGGTGGGGGTGGCGGCGCGTGTGTTTCTCTCTCCTTCAGCCCCAGCCGTTTCCCGCGGCCCGAGTTAGCGATCTCCCGTGCGCCTGAGGGCAGGGAGGCCGACCTCTATTACCTGGGTCGATAACCGCTTGTGGCATCGACGAGGTTGCCAAGGCGTGCGCGGGCACCACCTTGCATCCCTGAACTTGCTTCTCCTCCCCCCTTAATGGTCTGTAGGGGCTCTCCCGTGTGTGCGCTCCTCGAGAGTCTGGCCAATTTGTAAGGCTCCGGTTCGCCAGGCTCGGCCGGGTCGGGACTTCTCCCGCTGCTTGCCCGTTTTAATCTTGCAGAACCCGGAGCTGCTTTTTTTTTTGTGAAGGTTTGTGTGGGGGTGGCTGCTGGTTCCAGGACCTACAGCACCTTGAGGTGTTCCCGCGGAGCCTTCGACCACCACAGGCTTTTGTTTGCAGGGGCAGAGCTAGCTGTTGAGCAAATTGTAGATGTGAATGCAGTCCCCCAGCTATGAGGACTTAGGAATTCTGGAGTTCAAACCCTGGGAAACCGAGCTAGTTGGTATTCACAAGGAACTCCTGGTTGTAGATCGCAGACCAACTGAAAATAAACCAGTCACCGGAAATAGCGCATCTGCAAAAGATTCACGGGTTTCAGGTAACGAAGGAAAAGGTTGTAGTAAGAAGATGCCAAAAAAAGTAAGTCTCTTCTTTAAGAGAGGGAAAGGGGAGCAGTTCCTGTATGACAAGTACACGCTGGTTTTTTTTTTTTTTTGGAAAATTTGGTAGATCCCTTTGAGTTAAAAAAAAAAATAGCTTGTCTTCTGTGATCTTTCCATTCCTTATTACCTGGCTTTTGATACAAACGTAGGTTTGACATTTTCACTGAAAGTATTAGAAAGTTTTCATAAGGCAGTACTGCAGCAATAACTTTTAGAACAGTTTAAGGAACTTGGCAGGAATATTTATCAGCAATATGTATATGTATAAATGCATTCCAAATGATTTGCTTTTCCTTACCAAACTTGGATTGCAAGTAGTCTTTTTGATCTTTTCAGGGCTGCAGTTAACTTTAGTTTTCACATCTTATATACTCCTCCTTTACTAAGAGCTGAGAGTAACTTAGAGTCTGGGTTGAATCAAAAAGAGTATTTTTAACTTGGAGGACTCTAATCCTGGATAGTTGTGGGTTGACCTTAATAGAAATCTTGTTTTAAAATACTGAACATTTTTTGAGAAGTTAGATATGTAATCCAAGGAAAAACTGAAACCTGCTTATGGTAGTTCAGAACATTTGTTTATAACATTCTTAGGATAAGTTATTTTGGATATTCTGTGAAGGGAAGAAGATCTTGAGACTCTCTTTTAAATATGTGCTGGAAGAAAAGCGTTTGTTTTTGTTTTAATGAATACAACTAGAATCCTAACTATATGCACTTTTCTGTTGCTTTTGGGTGAAAGAATTACGTGATTAGACAGTACAAGGGAAGAGCAATAAAAATTAATTATATGATAATAGAGCAATAATGAATGGATTCTCTGAGGCTGCTCATCTGCCCAAATAAGTCTTTGTTAAACTGGTTATGAAAATTGACCTTGTGATGTTTTCAATAACAGGAGCAAAGTACCCAATAGTTTCTGGGTAACAAATGTATTTATGGAAAACTATTTAAGATTTTCCTTGTGTAGGCATAGAATTATTAGGTGCATTGAGAAGGCTGGTTCTCTTCCAGTTGAAAATTTTAAATTAGCTTAAGTCCTCACCCTTCAGAGGAACTGATCTGATTGGAAGAATGGCGAAACTCCCTAATGTGTCAGAGATAAAATCTCTGAATGAGTCTGCAGGGTTCAGAAATTAAAAACTAATGTTTTTCTATGGCATTGAATCAAACAATGTTAAAACTGGTCACCTAGATAGGTTTTATGGCATAACATACAGTAGAGTTAAATACACTGTACATTGGCAAGTGGTAGTCTGTTGCAGAAGTCTCTACCTCCTCATCTCCTTCCACTTACTACTTAGTTTTAAAATAACAGTAACAAGATTCTGGGATGGCCTGGGTGGCTCAGCAGTTGAGCATCTGCCTTCGGCTCAGGGTGTGATCCGGGAGTTCCGGGATAGAGTCTCATGAGTCCCATATCAGGCTCCCTACATGGAGCTTGCTTCTCCCTCTGCCTGTGTCTCTGCCTCTCTCCGTGTCTGTCATGAATAAATTAAAACAAAACAAAACAAAACAAAAACCCAGTAACAAGATTCGTTTATGTTTTTTTTGTTTTTCCTTTTTTGATGAAGGAATTTGTCTCATGTTACCTTGCTAAGCATGGAATCTGGAAGGTGAGATTGCTATCACTTTTGCATTGTATTTGGTTCTGTTTTGTCTTAGGTATAATATGATTTTAAAAACTTAGAGATAGTACAGTACCTGAAAGTTTTATGTGTTTCATGTAAATACAAACAGAACGTCAGTTACTAGATAGTCATGCCCTGGATACTTAATCCAGATGGGTTCATTCAGAAGTACATCTTTCTAGTAGTCCTGGCTATTTGGAGATTTATTCCGTAGCTCTGCTTTCTTTCAAGGGGAGTTTAACATTTTCATTTCTATGAGCTCTTTAGATGCAAACTGTTCATGACAGATTCATATAATCACCACTTGCTTTTTCAGTCCTAAAAACTTTGGTTCAGTGGTTGGCAGAGTTCTGAACAAACCACACACACCTTTGTAGATCAGAAATCTTCATGTTTAAACCACAGACACGTTTTTTGGAGACTAGAATGACATGGACATATTATGAAGATTCCATAAAAGGAATCACTAAAATTTCATCGATTTATCCCATGAATTGAATAGTTAGCCTTTCCTTGGTTAATTAGGAGATGAAAATGCCTACCCTGAAAGTGAATTATCATTTCCCAGGGTTAGGAATTGAACCCTACAACTGATGTATATTTTCATACTTCTAAAAATTTCGAGATTTACCTGATGAAGTTGGATCATGTAGGGGGTCTTCTGTCTGTAGAAACATTCTGTAGAATCCTTTCGTTCTGTTACGCTTTGAGGAAACGTATTTGCAATGATCTCAGGAACAGTTTTCTTAAGAGATACAGACACTGGTCCTATAAACAGAGTATATAACATTATCACTAGAAAGGCACTTGTGAGAAAGACTTGTGAGAAAGGCATGTGAGAAATACAGGAATAGGTTGTCAATGAACTTGCTTTGAGTTGCCAAATTTAAGGCTGAGGATAACTTTATTTTGATTTTCATCTTTTAGTAGAATGACCAAATATGTCCCATTTCTTAGTGTTTTTATATATTGTTGGTTGGGGAAGTGACTTATGTTAAAACTGTCTTTGCTAATTGTTCCAGTCTTTGGTTTTGGAAAGCCTTTAATTCAATTACTTTTGTAATTTAATGATTCTCAGTTTTAAATCCTAAGTGTTTTCAGTTCTTCTGGTTATCGCTATTATTTACAACTTTGTTTTTTGCATTATCTTGAAGCAGCATTTATCTGTCCCCAAAAGAGTTTCAAAGTACTAATGCTTTGCATTCTGGTCAATATTGGAAATAGCTCTTTTTAACATAAGACTTGAAATCTGTCCTAGATTTCCTAGTAACATCAGTTCGATTTTGGGCAGCAAGTCTCTTCACTTCTGAGTCTGTTTAGACTTAGGTATTTAAAGGTTCAGTGGGCGAAATCTAGTGGGTTGGGAATGATACTTTTGTGTGGTTGGTTAGTCCTTAGCAATTTTCCTTTTCAATAGTATATATAGTAGAGGACACTAAGAGAAGACAAAGGTTGGGGCAACTCTTCTGACTTGCACTTTAGGTCCAAAAATGGAGAGTAAAATTTTCCTCTAACTTGAGATATAGTAAGGGTTGCTGGGGATAGGGAGATTCCTGTTATTATCTAATACTTATTCAAAAAGTACCTGTAGCTCCTATTTGTATACATAAGGCACTGTGGTCAGTACTAGGAATACTGTACTGCACAGGGCACATATGGCCCCTGGACCTCATAGGGAGGCAGTGTTAGCCAGCTGGCTCAACAGCACAGACTTCTATGCCTCCACTTTCTCCTCTATAAATTGGGCATAATGCTAGCACCTACATCATAGAGTTGTGGTAGGAAGTTAAATGCATTAATATATGTAAAGTACTTAGAACTGAACCTGGATATATGCATACCCTATGACCCTCCATCCCACTCTTGGGTTTATACTCTACAGAAATGCATACATATGTTTACTGGAAGACATGCACAAGAATTTTTATAGCATTATTTGTAATAGTCCCCATCTGGAAACAATGGAAATGTCCAACAGTGGAATGGATAAAGAAGGTAATGGTACATATATTTATATAACGGAATATTCTACAGCAGTGAAAAAGAGCAAGCTCCTACTACAAGTAAAATCATGGATGAATCTCAATGCTGATTGAAAGAAGCTTGACATTAAAGAACAGATCCCAAAAAAGTAAGAATATCTTCCATGATTCCAAATTTAATCTATGGTGATAGAAGTCAGGATAATGATAACCTTTATAGAGTTTAGGAAGATGATTATGACTGGGAGGTCTGAAGGGTGCTGGTATAATGTTTTGTATCTTGATTTGAGTGGAGTTATGTGGGTATGTTCACTTTGTAAAAATTCAGCTCTTCAACTATTTTGTTTACACAAAAGAATTTGATAGATTAAAAACTTATAAAATGCTTAAATTAATTATTAGATCCAGAAAGATGCAGTGATTTGCTCTGTTGTTATTAGAGTCAGAGAGAGACTAGGACTCAGGTTTTCTGAGTTTCAGATCATTGCTTTTTCTTCTGTTCTGCATTTCTTTTGTTCTATTTGCTAAACTACACTGTGTTATCTTTTCTGACATCTGTAATGAGTCATTTTGGAATTAATAGCTCACATAATTAGGTTGACTTATTTGTAGGATTGCTAAAATTTTGCACCTATTGCTAACTACCTTTGGGGAAAACTAAAATTCAGAACTTATTACTTTGTGGGTTTTTTTTTTTTTTCCTTTTCTATCCCAGTCTTCTGATAGCAATCGCTATAAATTGTAATTTAAAGACTCCTGATGAATGGACAGTTGTGCAGAAATTTCTGACTCTGGGAAAGTTTCCATTTATTCTGTTACTTTTAATGAGCTATGAAAGAAATCATTACTCAGCATTTTTTTGCTCTCACAGCTTATAAACTATGTTTAGTCTAATATGTCAAGGACAGGGAAAAAATATTTCTTATCAGGAAAAAGCAACAAGTTTTTTTTCAGTGCCAAAACTTGGCATTTCTCAGGCTCTTACCATCTTCGTGTGCTTTTCTTTTCATGCTCGAAGTTCTTGGGTTTTTGGTATGACCTTCAAATAATTCTTAAAACAAAAGAACACAGGAAAAGAATCATTATATGACATTTAAAATAGATTCATCTTCAGGCATTCGGATGCACTAAAGTAAGTGCATTTAAGTGGTTGTACAGATAAAGAAGGATGAGCTTAAGAATTTGTAATGTTTTGGTACAAGGTTTGGAAGGAAATTGAAATTCTTAAATTAGGTATGTGCTTTATAATAAATTTTTGGGTCATTTGAATATACATTAGTATAAGGATTTTATTTTTGAGGAATTTCTTGCTGTGTTACAATGCAAAGAAAAAGGGTAATAGAATTTTTATTTTAAAAAGTCAGTTTCAAGGTTACCATGTTTCCATTTGGCAGTTCTGAGAGTTGGTCCTCTTAGGATGCAGTCAACTTCTTCATAAAATCTCATTTTTCTTTGAGGGTTGCCATTTTTCTTTTGTAAAACTCTGTATTCATATTTTAAATTTTTGTATTTGGTACGACATTGTTTCCAGTCTCTGTCTATTCCAAACTGCATTAGTCTTCTGGCAATTTCCTCAAATATTTCTTTGTTTCTTGTGGCCCTTTCAAGCATTTGCTTAATTTTTTCATCAGACCATATGTGTATAAGCGCTCTGACCTCATTGTCACACCAGTGTTTTCCAGCCTCTGTGTCGCTCACTGTCACAATCTGTAAATGATTTTTAGCATCTTCTAAAGGAATATAATTACCTATAAATCAATGTGATTTACAATTATACAAACTTAGAGATAAATCTTGTATTTGAATATCATTCATTTAAAACAAACTGGATTGACATAAAGCATTGAGAATTACAGCATTTCAATGTCAGGGTCAAAATTTCTTCATGTGTTCATATTCAAATAAGATATTTAAAAAATAAGGTATACTAATCTCCAAAATTGGTAAGAATAATTCAACTTTTCATCAATAGATAATCTTCACTGGATGTTTACAAATATGGAGAGTCTTGGTGTAACTACTTAAACTGGTATATATTAGCTTAAAAGATTTTTTTCTTTTTTTAAGTAGCTTCCACCCCCAGTGTGGAGCCCAATGCAGGGCTTAAACTCAACAATTCTGAGATCAAGACTTGAGCTGAGATCAAGTGTCTGATGCTCAACCAAATGAGCCACCCAGGTACTCCTGAAAAAAATTTTAATTCAACAATTTAGAGCCTATACCTGACCCAGTGATACTTTGTGGTGCCGTGAGGCTGCCCACCTCTTCTGAGGCTGTACTTACGGTGTCCTTCCTCTGTCAGAAAACAAAGAGTTCACAGAACTCAAATTTACTTTTGCAATTGAAGATTATACTGAGAAACGAGTAAGGCTGGATTCCAGCATCAAAACTAACCTAGGGGCACCTGGGTGGCACAGACAGTTGAGTGTCCAACTCTCGGTTTTGGCTCAGTTTTAGGTAGTGATCCCAGGGTCATGCAATCGAGCCCCATATGGGGCTCTGCCCTCAGTATGGAGTCTGCTTGAGACTTTTTCTCCCTTTCCCTCTGCCCCTCCTCCTATTCTCTCAAATCAATCAGTCAATCTTTTTTAAAAAAACAAACTATAACCTCATAGCCAAGAACAGTTGTCATCTCTAACAGAATTTTAAAATGCCTTTGTGTAGGGTAGCCCCAGTGGCGCAGCAGTTTGGCGCCGCCTGCAGCCTGGGGTGTGATTCTGGAGTCCCAGGATCAAGTCCCACGTCGGGCTCCCTGCGTGGAGCCTGCTTCTCCCTCTGCCTATGTCTCTGCCTCTCTCACTGTCTGTCTATAATGAATAAATAAATAAAATTTTAAAAAAAAATAAAGCCCCATGGCACAGTATACTCTATTTGGGAAATGAATATGATAGCACTTTTAGACTCAGTTTTGTAACATCTTTGTTACATTATAATGTTTGCAAAAAGCTTTCAAATCTCTTTTCATTTGATTCTCACGGTAACTGAGAATGATCCTAACTGCAATATATCTATACAAGACCTTAAGATTAAGTGGTCTTGGCAATTTTCATTATGAGCTGTTAAGAGAAGACAGGTAATAAACATTTTGAGGAACTCATGGTACTTAGCTTGATAAGTATAACATGTATTTATTGTGGTGTAGTATTGTATGTATAGAATGTTTATAAGTCAGCTCTTCGCTGTTTGGGGAAAGCTCTTTCTCATGCATATGTTGGATTGCTGTGTTGAAGTGTTGCAGTGCTATGATAGGATTCTTTCACTCCTGCTGTATATTTCCTATACACTGGGACCTTTTTTTTCTTTTCTTTTTTTTAAGATTTACTTATTTATTTGAGAGAGAGAGAAAGGGGCAGAGGGAGAGGGAGAGAGAAACTCAAGCCAACTCTACACTGAGGGTGGAGCCCAAGGTGCAGCTTGATCTCACAACCCTGAGATCACAACCTGAGCCAAAACCAAGAGTCAGAAGCTTAACCGAGTGTGCCACCCAGGTGCCCTTAGGTTACAGTTTTGATGCTGGAATCTAGCTGGAATCAGGCCCGAGCTGAAACCAAGAGTCGGATACTTAACCGACTGTGCCACCCAGGTGCCCCAGAACATTATTTTTTAAAAAAATATTCTGTGTTGGGACACCTGGGTGGCTCAGCGGTTGAGCATCTGCCTTTGGCTCAGGGCATGATCTTGAGATCCGGGATCAAGTCCCACAGGGGGCTCCTTGGAGGAAGCCTGCTTCTCCCTCTTCCTGTGTCTCTGCCTCTCTCTCTCTCTCTCTCTCTGTCTCCCTCCATCCCCCCCCCCCCGTGTCTCTCATAAATAAATAAAATCTTTAAAAAAAATAATTCTGTGTTGGGACGCCTGGGTGGCTCAGTGGTTGAGCATCTGCCTTCAGCTCAGGGTGTGATTCTGGTCTAGGGATCGAGTCCCGCATCAGCCTCCCTGCCTGCTTCTCCCTCTGCTTCTGTCTCTGCCTCTCTCATGAATAAATAAACTCTTAAAAAATACATTCTGTATTACTCATGTCTGTGTAGTTGCTTGTAATGATTATTATAAAATTATATGAAACTGGGCAGCCCCAGTGGCTTAGCAGTATGGCGCCACCTTCTGCCCAGAGCGTGATCCTGGAGACCTGGGATTGAGTCCCACGTCGGGCTCCCTGCATGGAACCTGCTTCTCCCTCTGCCTGTGTCTCTGCCTCTCTCTCTCTGTCTCTCACAAATAAATAAAAATCTTAAAAAGTTTTTTTTAAAAAAAACTATATAAAACTACACAGTGGTTATGATTAGTAGAACAGTGAGGGAAAAGATGAGGTGGTTAGGGAACCCATAAGCCTATGCAGCCATAGGTATGTGGAGATTTAATTAGGATAGGACCAGATCTTACCTTTAGGACAGGTTTGCACAGTGAGACTAGAACAAAATTTAGCTTTTAGCAATATCAGTATCTTAAATGACAGGTTGTACTTTGGAGCCACATAGGGCAAAAATTGAAATTTTTTTTAAGATTTTATTAATTCATGAGAGACACAGAAGAGAGAGAGAGAGAGAGAGAGAGAGACAGACAGACAGACAGACAGGCAGAGGGAGAAGCAGACTCCATGCAGGGAGCCAACGTGGGACTTGATCTCAGGTCTCCAGGATCACACCCTGGGCTGAAGGCAGCACTAAACTGCTGAGCTACCCGGGCTGCCCAAAAATTGAAATTTTTATTGAGATAATTGTAGATTCAAATGCAGTTTTTAGAAATAAGAGATCCCATTCGCACTTGGCCCAGTTTTCTCCAATGATAACATTTTGTTAAACCTGTAATATACTACTAAATCAAGGATATTGACATTGATAGAGTTCACTACTCTGATTCAGAGTTCCTGTTTTCCTTGTACTTATTGTGAGTATATATATGTTTGTATTACATTCTATGATAATTTTATTAGCTTGTAGGTTCATGTCTCCACCATCAAGGTCAAGATACTCCAAGGTTTCAACACCATAAGGATCCCTCTGGTTGCTTTTTATAACTAGACTTACCTCCTTCCATGCCCAAGCTCTCCACCCACCCTTACCTCAGTGAAGAGCACTCCAAGGTAAACTTTGGCAAGCCTTATTTCAGCAGAATCTGAATTTATAACATTCTACCTATGTGACTAAAACCATTAGTTTTAGGCTCAGGCACATGTCCTCCTTCTGAGAGATAGAAATATTTAGAGATTTGGTGATCTATAGTTAGTCCTAGAAAATTAGATGTCATATTGGAGGGTAGTGGTGTGGAAATCCTAAATTTAGCATATTTTGAGGAAAGGTAAGCATTTAGTTTCTGTTAGGTTTCTCTCCCAACTGGTATACTGCAATTCATTTCTGACGCTCACCACTAGAATTAGAATTAGATTCTGAAGCTTCAAGGGCTCATTTGTCCATACGGCTGCCTTTACTTCAGATGCCAGCCACCTTTCAGCTGACTGGCTACAAATTCAGGCCATGACCTGTTCATTCTGGCCATGACCCCCTCAGGTTTGATCATTTGCTGAACAACTCATAGAACTTAGGAAAGCCCTACACTTAGAATACAGTTTTATTATTAAAAATAGAACTCAGAACCAACCAAATTGAAGATCCATCCACATAGAATAAGGTCTGGGAGGGTCCTAGATGCAGGACCTCCATGCCCTCTCCCTGTGGAATTAGGGCCTTCAATTCTCCAGCACATTAGTGTGTTCACTAACCAGGAAGCTCTTCTAAGCCAGTTTTTATTGACATGATTGATTATGGCATGATCAATTAAATCATTGGCCACATGACTGAATTCAGTCTTCAGACTTAATTTCCCTGTTAGAGATCAGACTGGCCTAAAATCCCAAGCCTCTTAATCACAAAGTTGGTCTTTATGGTGACCAGTCCTATCCTAAAGCTATCTAGAAACCCACTTTGAATCAGCTCATTAAAATAAGAAATCTTCTGCCACTGGAAATTCCTAAGGTTTTTGAAACTCTGTGTCAAGAATTGGAGACAAAGACCAGATTTATGTACTCTTTATTTTTTTTTATGTTCTTTTTTGAGATATTATTTTAGAACTATCTCTGCACCCAATGTGGGACTTGAATTTATAACCCTGAGATCAAGGGCCATGTGCTCTACTGACTTAAGTCAGCCAGGCACCTCTGTATTTTTTATTATGTTACAGCTTCTTAAAGAATTTGTGAAAATATAAACAGGAATTAGAAAAGCCAACACTTTTATCATTATCAAGTTGCCTGTATTTAAGTTTATTGGCTTACCTAAGTTTGAACTTTATTTTACATTTGTAATTTTTGGGTTTCTGAAATTTTAAAAATCAAATCTTTATTTGGGTTTTCTATTGGATTAAAAATGTAAAAGTTCTCAGTATTATGATTCATGTGATGAAAATGCATTACCTGCTAAGATTATCCAAGTTAAATGCAAAATCTACAAAACTGTTTATTTTCTTTTAAAATTATTTCCAATTTTTGGCTTATTATAAATAAACCAAAATAAACGAATTGGAGAAATATATGAATTTGAGAAACCAAAAAAACCTGGCATGGCCTCTGAGATACTAACAATAGATAGTTTAGTGCCCTCTGCTGGCCATCACATTGTTAATTTTTGTGAAATTGTGGGGATAGTGACTATTTTAATTTTGGAAACATATTTTACCAACCAAAGAAAATTCTTTAAGACTATTTTTAAAAGAATAGTTTTTACTTGTGATTTTTAGGCTGGTAAGAATAACCTCCAATAGGATATATTTGCCTGTCTCCACCCCTCAGAACTAAAATTGATCTACCTTTGACTGCCAATACTAATAAAAAGCAGTGACTTGCGAGAATACTGAAGTATTCCACCTCGTGTAAATATCAACTGATACTAGAGATGCATTAAGTTAATTTTAGGTTTACTCAGAAGAGACAGGTAACTGACAAGACTGTCAAACATTTCCTGTTTAGACAGTAGAACTTTCTGATTCCTTTTATCATCTTTTGCTTATGCCTCAGGTGGGGAGAAGAATTTATTTTTAATTTTTTTATTATTTTTTAAAAATTTATTTATTCATGAGAGACACAGAGAGACCTAAGCAGAGGGAAAAGCATGTGATGCAGGACTGAATCCCAGGACCCCAGGATCATGACCTGAGCCAAAGGTAGACACTCAACCAATGAGCCATCCAGGTGCCCGAGAAGAATTTTAGATCCAAAGAATTGGTTATTCAATTTTCATGGGTTATTACGTTTTACTTTTTTTTTTTTTTAAGATTTTATTTATTTATTCATGAGAGACAGAGAGAGAGAGGCAGAGACACAGGCAGAGGGAGAAGCAGGCTCCATGCAGGGAGCCTGATGTGGGGCTCGATCCTGGAACTCCAGGATCATGCCCTGGGCTGAAGGCAGGTGTTAAACCGCTGAGCCACCCAGGGATCCCCTACTTTTTACTTATTGTAATAGGTAGGCATAGCTCAGGAGTTCTGTGATTCTTCCCAGTGATTAACTTATTTCATATTGCATTAGTCATGCATTTTTTAAAGTGATAATTGAAATTGGCTAAATTGTCTTCCCTAAATAGAATCAAATTGGATTTCATGTTTTTAATTTCTTCAGCCCTCTGCTAGCCTCTACTCTCTAAATATGACAACCTGTTATTTTCAACCCTTACTGTGCTTGATGGTCTGTTATAAAAATATAGTTGATTGAACCCATCCTATAACCTACGCTAAACCAGAATCCCCAGGAGTTCTAAATTGGGAACTAGTTATCTAGACTCCAAGGAGTTCACAGCTCTAGTTAGATTTTTATTTGAAAAAAGAATCTTCTAGCATACATTTAAGATGAGGAAAAATTTACTTTTGGGAGACCAGTTTCATGACCAAGTATCAATGTTAACAATATGGGGCAATAGGAACTCAGATTTCAGTAGTTCATTAGTAAAAATATAAAATCAAAATGAAATAACCTCTACCTATTTTTACATGAATGTTCATCACTTTATTGTTTCTGTTTATTTTTTAAGTAGGCTCCAAGGGGGCAGCCCCGGTAGCTCAGCAGTTTAGCGCCACCTTCAGCTCAGGGTGTGATCTCGAAGACCCGGGATCCCTGCATGGAGCCTGCTTCTCCCTCTGCCTGTATCTCTGCCTCTCTCTCTCTCTCCCTCTCTCTGTCTCTCATGAATAAATAAATAAAATCTTTGATTTTATTTTATTTATAAAATCTTTGAGAGAGAGAGAGGGAGGCAGAGAGAGGCAGAGACAGGCAGAGGGAGAAGCAGGCTCCATGCCAGGCGCCTGACGCGGGACTCGATCGCGGGACTCGATCTGGGGACTCCAGGATCACGCCCTGGGCCAAAGGCAGGCGCCAAACCGCTGAGCCACCCAGGGATCCCCAAATCTTAAAAAAAAAAAAAAAAAAAAAAAAAGCTCCAAGTCCAATGTGGGGCTTGAACTCATGACCTTGAGTTGAGATCAAGAGTGGGACTTAACCTAGTGAGCCAACCAGTGACCCTTTGGTTTTTTTGTTTGTTTTAAAGATTTTATTTATTTGTTTATGAGAGAGACACAGAGAGAGGCAGACACATAGGCAGAGGGAGATAAAGGACTCAATCCCAGGACCCTGGGATCACAACCTGAGCCAAAGACAGATGCTCAACCACTGAGCCACCCAGGTGCCTCCTGTGTTTTGTTTTGTTTTAAGAAAGAATATTTGATGTGAATTTTTTTCCTGAAGATGAATATCCATACCTCAATACAACATAGTAGAGTGGTGATTTGTGACTCAATAGTTTATATTGCAGGTATGACTGAAGTACTTTTCTACTTAGATTTTTTTGCTAACTCTAGGAGGTGCCTGGGTGGCCCAGTTGGTGGAACATGCAACTCTTGATCTTGGGGTGGTGAGTTTGAGCCCCACACTGGATGTAAAGATTACATAAAGGTAAAATCTGTTAATAGTTTAAAAGATCAGTTTCTGGGGCAGCCCCGGTGGCTCAGTGGTTTAGCGGCCCAGGGCAGGCTCCTGGAGACCTGGGATTGAGTCCTGCATCAGGCTCCCTGCATGGAGCCTGCTTCTCCCTCTGCCTGTGTCTCTGCCTCTCTCTCTCTCTCTCTCTGTGTGTGTGTCTCTCATGAATAAATAAAATCTTTTTTTTTTTTAAAGATCAGTTTATTTTCCTATGTATTTAGCTGTTGGGATTCTTGTAGTTTTATATCTTTGCTTTTATTTTCATATGGAAGTTTAAAATACCTTAGTTTCTAGAATGACTATTTCCCATTTTATATTTAGAAAATATGAAACATATAAACATAACAGTTTTTTTAAAATCCTGCCAGTTTAATAATATATCTGACTTAATGTTTTCCTTTCACATACAAAAAAGTATCTTGAGGTGTTGTACTTAAGTGAGTCCAGAGGAGTAACAAGCTAAAATCTTCTGAATGCTAAAGTTCTTAATTTTTTCCATGGAAATCTATCTTATTAAATCTATCTGATTTTAACTTTTTTTTAGCTTAAGAGTTTATATTTATTTATTCATGAGAGACAGGCAGAGATACAGGCGGAGGGAGAACAGGGCTTCCCTCAAGGAGCCCGATGCAGGATTCGATCCTGAATCCCTCAGGGCAGGCGCTCAACTGCTGAGCCATGCGTCCGTTAACTTTTTTTTTTTTTAACTTTATTTTTAATGACAAGGGTCAATGCTCTGATGCCCTGAGAAACCTTAGGAGCACAGATTTTTGTTTACCTGTGTTATCATACCCCTAGTCAGCTGCATGTTCCTATCGAATTAGTCCCCTTAATTTCTCCGCTTTCACCTTTCACCATTCTAGCAGCTCTCCTTTCTCCCACTGGGCTTTTAATTTGGCATATCTGATAAGTCAGACAAAGAAGTTTGCCAAGAGTGTGAGGAATTTGATTACCTGGTTTGTTAATCAGCATGATTCTTTACATTTTTCTAAGCTTTGAACTGAAAGACTATGTGTGAGGTCTGTGATGACTAGCTAAGCTTTTGCTTGGGGGCCTGTTGATCACCCATCACTCATTTTGGTTTATGTAAAAGGCAAACCACCATATAGGAAGCACTTACTTTCCTTCACGCCATTAGTACCATAGGACAGTGTTTCTCAAACTCAAGCATGCCAAAGTTCCCAGATGATACTAATGCTGCTATACTTTGAAAACCACAGCTATAGGGAATGTTACTGTCATTAACAGTTTTCACCTTCCATTTCTGTATTTTGTAAATATGAGTATTACTCTTCATATACAGTGTTATAACCTTGTATGTGTTATTATGAAATCTTAGTTATTATAGCATCTTTTTTATTATACATTATACATAAAATATAATTAAATCTAAAACCCATCATAAGGTCCCCAACCTCATGACCTCCAAACCTAATTATCTCATGAAGGCCCCATCCCCAAATGCTCTTATATCTGTTGATACGACTTTAGAGGTGACACAGTTCAGTCTATAGCAACATCATATAATAACATCTTACATATTTTTTCACATACATAAAACCAAAAAAATATTATTTTACCTGTACCAGGACTTTGTTTTACATCTCTGTCTCTTAGGTCTTCTGATATATCACTGACAAAGTCATCTTCTGCTGCATCTCCATCAATGACTGTGAATATAGTGGGATAGATGGTGGTTTGGTTTTATTCACCTTCAGCATAGTGTTTTATTTTATTTTTTTAATTTTTTTTAATTTTTATTTATTTATGATAGTCACAGAGAGAGAGAGAGAGAGAGAGAGAGGCAGAGACATAGGCAGAGGGAGAAGCAAGCTCCATGCACCGGGAGCCTGATGTGGGATTCGATCCTGGGTCTCCAGGATCGCGCCCTGGGCCAAAGGCAGGCGCCAAACCGCTGCGCCACCCAGGGATTCCCAGCATAGTGTTTTAAATTCTAATATGTTATTTTCTCTTTTAAAGTGAGCGTGATGGGAGTGCCTGGGTGGCTCAGTCAGTTAAGCATCTATCTGCCTTTGGCTCAGGTCAGGGTCCTGAGATCAAGCTCCACTAAAGTGAACCTCATGCTGAATACTGTGGTTGTCATTTTAATTTCAATGGGATAGGTGGATCGTTCTCAAGCAGACCAGTTTCTTCTCCGCCAGCAAAATATTTCAGGCCTTCTTGCCACCATTTCTCAATCCTCTGTCATTGCCTCCGTTTCCCCTAGATTCGTATTCATACTCTAAGAATTAGGACTGCATTGTTTACGGCAGATATTAATATCTAGAAACTTTATGGTTAGTAGAGGTCTCTAAGAACATTTTGTCAAGTCTAGAGGAGACACCTGGTTCAAGATTCCAGAAAGATTGAGCTAGAACTTTGATTTCCTGACTCCTGGTCTAGAACTCATTTATGTCATGCTGTCCTATCTTTGTGTGTAATGTATCTCAGTCCTTTGTGTTAAACTTTTTATTAAAGAACTTTATGAAGTGTCCCACAAGAACTTAGACTTCAAAGTCATTCTCATGGGTTTTTTTTTTCTAAGTTCTTTAATGCTCTTTTTCTGTTCACTCACAATTTAACCACAATTAATATGAAAACTTGCTTTAACTTCTGCCATTTAGAGTTGCAGTTTTACTTTACTAAAATTGGTCTATTTTTAAACTTGTGGAAATCCAATTTTATTTCATCCTTATGTATGACTTTGTACTATTGTCTGGGTTCTGGAAGAGATTGAATATACATTAAATTGTTCATGAGAAATTCAACAATTAGCTTGTTGAATAGTATTTAGTGAAACCTATTTAACTTAAACTATATTCACGTTTCTGGGTTACTAACATTTTTATAGGATTTGGCCTAATGTTCAGGTTACTTTTCTTTGCCTTCCTACCTGACTGTTTCTCTTCTGTTTTTACATTGGCACATCCTGTGGCTTGTTCTTCATCTTGGAATTCGTGTTCTTGTGGTTTTTCTCTTTTATTGTATCCCAGAATAGCATCCAACTCAGTAAAAAATTTCATACTCTTAGTTATGCCTTGGTCTTGAGCCATTCTTACAGTCTTGTATTCATGTTTTAAGTTTTTGTACTTTGTTCTGCACTGTTTCCAGTCTCTCTCTATTCCAGATTTCTGAAGCTTGGCAGCAATTTGTTCAAATATCCTTTTATTTCTCACTGTTCCTTCCAGTTGTTGTTGTATATTTATATCAGACCAGATGCCAATTAGAGCCCTAACTTCTGGCACAGTCCAGTGTTTTCCTCCTTCATTTGCTATGGTTGGAATAAAAGTTGGATTATTAGGGGGTTCCATAATTGATGTGGAGTTACCTGTATCAGAAGAGATACATATATAGGTTACATACATAAGATAAGTAATTGGATGCAACCTTAGTAAGGAAGGAAATTTTCTCCATGGGAGATGGAAAACCTTAGCTTTTCTCTGAAACTAATGAGGAAATGAAATACAGAACCTGAGTCTATTTCTTACCATGACAGTGACTGGCCTTAAAAAAGTTGTGTTTTTAATTAGTCACATTTTGATCATCTTTTTTCTCTATATTTCTCTTACTCTTCATCCCATTCCTTTGATATGTGGTATGTATATCAGTATATAGTGAATGTTGAGTAATTTTGTATTATTTGTAGAAAGCAATACAATTAGAAAATGGCTCATTAAAGGTAATTTTTATTTGTTTTTTGTTTTGTGATAGGATAGGTGGGAGCAATTTATCTCCTCTTAATTTAGTGATTTCCATTGGATACATATCAGTATCTGCTGGGGAGCTTTTGTAAATCACTAGTTTGCTGTTGCACCCCACCTTGCATCCCCAGTTTGTGGTTCTAATGGGCAGTCATGGCTGAGAACCAAAACTATTCACGAGTAAAGGGTTGGAAGAGGCACATTATTTTTCCACTTGGATTAACAACCTTCAGTAAAAATTTAGAAGCAAAATGGTGATTTGTTTGGACTCTGGGTGAATAAAACCATCCCTGACCTCACTGATTTGATATTATTTACTTTCATTTGTAGAGTTGTTTGTATTAGACCTCAGGAGTGCTAAAGTGACATGTTCATTAAATATTAAGCACCTATTATATATAATTTTGACCACTGTATTCCCTATTATGTTTAAAGAATAAAGGTTGGGAATTTGAAGGCCAATAATACAGGCAGTTTACATTTTGTTAAAGAAATCATTTATTTTAGAAATGTTTTTTTTTTTTTTTTTTTTTTAGTATAGACTGGTAAAAAAAAAAAAAAAAGTGGTGGTGGGGGGGAAACAAGATAATCCTAAGTGTTTTTATCCGGAAAATCAGCCATTTTCTCAGAAACCAACCTAACTTTCCAATTTGGAATTTGATCAGTTTCATTGTATTTTTTGATTCACAATACTGTACCTAGTTCCATTGGTCTGATATGAGAAACCAAAAGTAAAGGATTTCCTGAGATATCTTCCTTATCTTCTAATGTAACTGATATTTTACCTAGAAAGAGAACAGAATTCCTTTTAGAATAAGTTCTAAGGAAGATAAAAATTGAATTAATATGACTGAGAATGCTAATAGCTTGAACTGAACTTGATCAAATGAAGGATTATAAATTTGTGTTAAACATAGATTGTAATAAAATGGTATAAAATAGTTTAAATTTGTATTTATAATACAGAAAAATTTAATTTCTTCCATTCACATGGTTAATTTTGAACTTCCACTAGATTTATTTGCTAATTTTATGTTTCTAGAGATGATTGTGGTTCGTATTCAATGAATTATATTTTTTAAATGGAGATTTAAAAAAATAAAAATAAAAAAATAAATGAAGATTTTTCTTGGGGTGCCTGGGTAGTTAAGTTTCTGATTTTTGATTTTGACTCAGATTATGATCTCAGGATCATGAGATCAAGTCTTGGGCTGGGCTCTGTGCTGAACATGGAGCCTGCTTAAGATTCTCTCTCTGTCTATCTCTGTCTCTGCCTCTCCTGACCCCTCCTCATGCTCATGCTCTCTCTTTAAAAAAAAAAAAAAAAAGTGAGGTGTCTTCATTATTTTGTGCTTTAGGTACTTTAACATAACAGGCACTTGATAAATGATAGTAGCAATCAATGTAAGACAGAGGTTTCATGAGATAATCAGAAAATCTTCTTTAATTGTTATATGGTCAAATAGCTAAAATTTATATGTATCTTTTATAATTATGTAATTGGTACATACTAAACTTTCCAGAAATTTATCTAAGTTATGCTTAAATGGACCAAGGAATGTGCCATTTAAAAGAACCATGCCAACCTTGAAAAATGAAAATGGCCCCCCCTTGACCTCCTGGTTTTATTTTTTTATGATAGTCACACAGAGAGAGAGAGAGAGAGAGAGGCAGAGACACAGGCAGAGGGAGAAGCAGGCTCCATGCACCGGGAGCCCGACGTGGGATTTGATCCCGGGTCTCCAGGATCGCGCCCTGGGCCAAAGGCAGGCGCTAAACCGCTGTGCTACCCAGGGATCCCTCCTGGTTTTATTTTTTATAAAATGAGGCACAGACTACTTTTAAAGTAATCAAATGAGGAGGGTAATAGGAAAAACTAAAATATATCTTTCAAAGGAACCCAGCATATAGAATTTTGGATTCAGTTGGCACATGTGAAGATGAATCATAATTATAACGAGGCTGAAACTGATCATGAGATAGGGTAGTTAAGTAGGTTTTGATTACTTTTTTGTAACTTTTCTGAATCAGAGAGTTATTCATCTATCATTTCCATGTTTTTTCAATATTGTTTTACTGAGTAACAAATACCATTCTATTTTACTTTACATTAGGAGAGCAAATGTTAGTTATGATTTCAATGGCATGAACATTTAAAATTAGAATTCACTATTTGGAGGCATTCCATTAAAAAGTAAGTAAAGGGGCAGCCCTGGTGGCACAGCAGTTTAGCGCCACCTGCAGCCCGGGGTGTGATCCTGGAGACCCAGGATCTGAGTCCCGCGTCAGGCTCCCTTCGTGAAGACTGCTTCTCCCTCTGCTTGTGTCTCTGCCTCTCTCTCTCTCTCTCTCTCTCTCTGTCTCTCTGAATAAATTAAAAAAAAAAATCTTAAAAAAACAAGAAAAGAAATGTTTGTCATATCATATTAAAGATTATATTAGGGATTTCTATTTTAAAATAGAATAACATGAAAAATAAGGGAGGTACTACTGTTTTCAAATGTCATGTAGATGGGAATATGGAAAATTAAAGTCTGTGGTTACATAGGAATTTTTATTTAAGAATTCTCTTTAAGAAAATATATATAAAAAAGAAAATATGATATACTGGTTAATTTAACATGTGAGCTTCATGATGAGAACAGTAAGGAAAGAGGGGAGAGTTTGCTATTCTATTATCTGATTTAGGGCCTACTTTTATGTTTGTTTGTTTTTCTCCTAGTTTTATGTTTGTTGAAAATAGCCGATGCTAAACATACAGGTCAGAGTAAAAAAGAAAAGCTTTCTTCTCAGCTGTTTCAGGTGTAATTTTTTCTTAGATTGATCCCAAAATTATATGAAGGAGCCTCATGCATGTGCTGGAGGTTTTAAACTGAAACTCTTAACTCATTATCTCTGCATCTGTATCAAAAGGAGGGAAATAGAGTGGAAATTTGGTCACTGAAGGAATGATTCTGCGGCAGCAGGTCAAAGGTATTCTGAGGTTGAGGATGATTATAATTTCCAGAACATGAAGTCTCTTAAGAGTTTGTATTTGAGTTCTTTGCCAAGGCTTAGTCAGACTACCTGCTGCCTAACGGAAGGAACCAGATCCTCTGTCCTTACCACTTGCATGAGGTTGATCCCAACAGTGGAAAAGGCACATTCATTTTCTTCCCTTCACCAATAAAAATTTTGCTGGTTCCGCCATAGAAAAACCAGAAGACATTATAAATGAATCAGACCTGGAGAAAGGAGCGCTTTCTAAGCCTTAGAAAAGACTGTTTGATTGCATTAAAAACTTGGATTCTATAGGTCAAATAAAAATCAATCAAAATTGTAAGGCAAAAGGGATCATGCAATTTCTAAGACCTCAGTTGACATGACCAGTTTTTTGTAAAATATATAGAAAACTGTTCCATATCACTAGTAATTAGACAAATACAAAATAAAAGTTACTGAATTAGCACACTTTATTATTTGTTAAATTAGGAAAGTCTCTCTCCCACTTTAACCCCTCCCTATGATCTGATATGACAAGGTTCTCTATAAAAGGAACAGTCTCACTATTAATAAAAAACAATTCTTTTGGAAAGCAGGTTTTTTTTTTTTTTAAGTGTTTCAAAGTAATCATACCCTTTCTGACCAATAACTGAACTTCTGATAGTCTCTCCTAAAGTAGTAATGTTAAATATGGACAAAAGGTATTGATTGTAGCACATTTCTCTAGGGGGCCAAAATAAACTCTGATATGCACTCACTTAAAAATTATGGAATCATTAAGTATATTTAATCCTGAATTATAATTAATTCTGGGTATAATACAAGGATTATTACTAAAGTAAACAGAATGGGGCAGCCCAGGTGGCTCAGCGGTTTAGCGCCGCCTTTGGCCCGGGGCGTGATCCTGGAGGCCCCGGGATCGAGTCCCAAATGGATGAGTCCCACATCGGGCTCCCTGCAGGGGGCCTGCTTCTCCCTCTGCCTGTGTCTCTGCCTGTGTGTGTGTGTGTCTCTCTCATGAATGAATAAATTCTTTAAAAAAATAAAAGTAAACAGAATGCTAATGTGCTTATAATTGTATAATTTAAAAAGTTTAAAGAACAACAACCAGTGGCATTGTGGATGATCTGTGGGAAGGGACTGAAAAGTAGGGAGACCAGTTAAGAGGTTATCTTACATTCCATGTGATAGATGAAGTTCTGCATGGTGGTAATGAGAATGGAACAGAGAAAAACTTATGAAACATGTCAGTAGATTTTTTTTTTTTTTTTGAGGACTTAGTGACTGACCAAAGGTCAAAGGCATCTCAAATGTTTCTGTAAGTGACTGGACATACAGTGATAGTAAGGTGGAAGTAATTTGTAGGAGGATCAGTCCTGAATGAAGAAGAGTATAGTTTTAGAATTTGGGGTTTGAGATACCTTAAACATACCCTAAGGTTAAGTGGTAATTATGGGCCCTCTGCTTATAAGTGAAAGTGGGGAATTTGGAGCCAAGGGGGTATCTAAATTAGAAGGAAATCCTGTTAAGTGGAGAATAGACACACACACACAGACGAGAAAGACAGAAACAGATGTGCACAGGGGGTGGGTAGGAGGGGGGAGGAGTGGAGGAGACACAGAGACACAAAGACACAAAAGTGGCAAAAAAAAAGTGAAGACAGAGCACCCACATCTTCATTATACCAATACCATCCTATGGTTAAAACCAAAGCTTTTCAGAAGCTGTGTGATTTACTTATCATTAATCAATATTAAAAGCATTCAAATAATGGAGAGTGCAGGATGATTAATTGAATAAAATAATGTTACTGCTATTTAACTTGAGAATAACTGCAAAGCTTCCTCAGAATTTGGTATCAGAAATGTAAAGGAAGTATGTTAAGTGGAGTGGACACTATGATTTATTATTGAGCTTTATAAACTCGAAGTTCAGAGTAACCTCATTAACCGAGCTTTAACTTCTATCATGTTACTTCCCTTTCTCATTTGGTATCTTTATTCTACCACTGTAACCATTTTCTTCTGGCTGTTACATTTATTCATTGTGTCCTCCTTTCTGAGACTACACATCACTGACTGCATGAGCATATAGCTCAGCACTTTGCAGGCAGTAGGTATTCAGAGATTTTGAATTGAATTGAACAACTCTGTTCTTAAAATAGCATCTGTAAAGACTTTGGCTATGGGAGAAATCTCCTTATTGCCACTGTTTTTCCAGCTTTCCCTAGTGATACATTAGTGATACGGACCTAGCAAATTCTATGTAAATAGTTCAGGCTTAACAACACAGCAGGTAAAAAAAAAAAAAAAAAAAAAAAAACCACACAGCAGGTCAAGAACCTTATTTTAATATCTGAATCATTTAATCATAAATCATTTAATCTAGCCAATCTGTTTTTGTTTTGCTTATTGTTAAAATGGAGCTTTCTTCCAAATGAGTAATGAAGAATTTATTAGTTCCTAGTATTTCAGTGCTTTTATTGATAAATTAAGAAAATGGGAACATAAATACAGAGCAGAAAGTTCTGTCTTGTTTGGAGATGTGGAGAAGTAACAGTGGAGAAATGTATTGGTTTTTTTCCCTTTTGCCACTCTTAGAAATTTTTTTAGATCTAAAATATTTTCAAAACCCAATCCATTTTCCAAAAAACATACCAGGCATGCTTAAGGAGCAGTTGGCGTTAGTGGTTAATGCTATTACCTTTTTTAAGGGGTTAATGTTATTTTAATGTGTTTTTCAGTATCACAGATTTAAAAAGTGGAGGTATTTAATCTTTTAAAAATTTTTACCTTGTGCAAAATAGCATAACAGGCCAGTTGTTTTTCTCAACATGATATTCCAGACTATGTTTTATCATATGGACTCAGAAATCCTGTACTCTTATAGTTTGTTAGGTAAAAACAAAATAATGCTACTTTTTCTTTTTACCTTCAGTGGTCTCTGAAGCTGTACTTTGGCTCAGCGTTGCCAGGCACCTGCCATTTGCATCTTCCTCTGTTAATTGTGTGGCAGGTTCATACTGCAGGATCGCATCCAAATCATGGAAGAACTTCATAGTTTTAGAGCTGTCTCCAGAGTTATGAGCATATTTAACTGTTCTGTATTCATATTTGAGATTTTTGTACTTTGCCCGGCACTGTTTCCAATCTCTGTATACTCCTAGTGCTTGCAGCCTTTTAGCAATGTAAATAAATATTCCTTTATTTCTTAGTGTTCCATAAAGTTGTTTTCGTATATTTTTTTCTGCCCAGACACTTAGCAAAGCTTTAACCTCTTCTTCAGTCCAGTGCTTTCCTGCTCCACTCTCCATGTTGAAAGTGACCTGGAAATGATTCACTATTTCTAGCCAAGGTTTTGTTTCCTAGGAAACCAGACGGCTGGTTGTCAATAAGCTCCAAAGAGCTGAAAAGATCTAGTTTAACTGGCTCAAGCTGCCTGAGGGGAGTAACTTGAGAAACTGCCAAATAAGCAGGCTTTGTGATTAAAGAAGCCTAGACCTAAATGATTCCTAACGTTTTTCATTTCAGCTTAAGGGAAAATTACCTTGAGATGAACAGGAGGGAAAACCGTTTTTAAATTTCTTTTCTTACATAATTTACTCTAGTTTACCAAAGATTGTTGATTTTTTAGAAATTAATTTAGAAGTGGTTAGCAGAGGTTCTTTCTGCCCTAAGATTTATAGCTAACACTGATTTTTTTCCCCCTCTAATACAAATCATTTTGTCTTCTAGCATAGGCTAACAGTAAAGACCACATCATTTCACTAAAGAAATCCTATGTCACAAATGATTCAGATGTGTAGGGTGTATAGTGTTATGCATATTTATATAATGTATTGATAATTTAGTAAATTTATAATGTTTTTAGATTTTTGCTTTGCTGGTATACTTAATGTAGTTTTTCTTATTAAAATGCCCAAAAAACAACTACAGTGTGTAATTTAGAAAAAGATCCAGTTTGCCAAATAAGTCAATATATCAATTTTAATGCATACATACATATATTAGAGGTTTACTTTTTATTTCTACCCTGATATACTTTGGAACAAAAATTTGCTAATAAACATTTAATATTTGTAGCATTTGTTCAGAACTACTGAAAATTGTGGAACATTTGGAACCTTTATCACTTGATACTCCACAGTAGTACAGATCCCCTGAAGTCATATTGTGTGTTATGCTACCTCTAACTTAGCTTTTGCTTTCTTCTCTATTTCGTCACCTAAAAATACTGACATAGGAAATGAAATACAAGTACCTGATCAGCTTAGGGTTTTTAGAAGCAGCATTTATTTGTGTGTGTGTGTGTGTGTGTGTGTGTGTGTGTGTGTGTGTGGGGTAACTAAAGTGATAGATACTTGTTGGGGAAAAAAAAGTGGTAAGTGCAGAAAAGCAAAGCAAAAACCTCAAAAATAAATGAATTTTGTTCATGATTCTACTACCCACAACTAAGCATTTTACCTGCTAATTTATTTGGAGATTTACATTTTTATCTACATACTCAACTTCATTTAGAGGTCACATAGTATCAGAAGCTCAAGTTCTCTAGCCTCAGATTATGTTCTCATCCTGGCTATGCTACCACTTTCTGTTTGACATTTGGCAAGTTACTTAACTTCTGTTTCTTTAGTGTCCTTATCTGTAAAATGGGAATAACAATCATAGTATCTATTTCAAAAGATTGTTGTGAGAGTGTAATAAGTTAGATCATTCGTGTAAATGCTTAGGACAGTGCCTGGCATGTTAGTTAGAACTCAGTATTACCTGCTGCTATTGCTAGTCCTATCATCATGAATAGAAGTAGCACTAGCATGTAATGTGTTGTCACCTCCTGGTGGCTCTTGAGAAAAGTAATGCTTCATAAAGAAGCTTATCAGTGTGGTAAATTTAAATTTAACAGTTGATGCCTTTTTATATTCACAGGGGTCAGGAGAGTGCTGGTATTGTGACCAGCGATGGGAATTCAGTACCAACATTCAAAACACACAAGGTATATTTGAACATAATGAAATGTCAATAATAACGATAACAATAGCTAGATGATAACTAGTATGTTGGTGGGGGAAGGAAATTTGAATAATATGCATCTAAAAGTCATACTCTGGATCAGCCATTTCAGTTTGTCATATGAGAGTGCATTTCTTTTCACCCGATAGTTTGCTAGACTGACTCCTTGAAACAGGCCAGTTACTTAAATATTTTAACATGCTTTGAATTTTTAAAATGCAATTGATTATATTTGACAAATTGTATTTAGTACATCTGTTCTTCAATGTTTTAATGAAAAGTATCTCATAAAACAAGCACTTCAACATTATGAATGTATTAAATGCTATTTAATTGTTTACCTTAAAATGGTTAATTGTATGTTATGTGAATTTCACCCCAAATTTTTTCCCAAAAAGAGGTTTTATGGTTTTTAAAATTAGGTTAGTCTTTATTTAAGACTAGAATTTGGAGCACAAGGGAATTAAGTGAAGTGCATTGTCTAATTTGGGATTGCCTGAGCAGAAGCTTATAAATGCCTTTGCTCACTAGGGCCACAAGTCTGTTGTGGTTTTTTTTTTTGCTAAGATAAGTTTTTACTTTGACTTTGCAAGGGAATGGGTCTTGTAAATCATGTCTTTACTCAAGACAATTTGAAGAAATTATATATTTCAAACCTTGGAATCGGACACACAAGATACGCCACTACAGGAAACTGTGAATTAGAAAATTGCCAGCCCTTTGTTGTTGAAACACTTCATGGGAAAATAGCTGTGGCACATAATGGCGAATTGGTAAATGCTGCTCAATTAAGGAAAAAGGTAAGTTTTTAAGTGCATTTTTTCATTAGGATAAATTAATGAAATGAATTTTTCGGGGATCTTGGTGCAGGATATTTTCTAATTGTTGCCACCTGTTACATAACACCTTTGTTACATAACAAAGGACAACTGTGTTAGAATTACCTGAAGTATTTGTTAAAATTACAGACTCTGAAATACCACCCCAGAGTCTGGGGTTGGAAGGGTGGTCAGTCTGGATAAGGTGATTCTCATGTACTGCTTTGGAGATTTGGAAAAGTTAATTTATGGTTGTCTTTAGAAACAGAAAAATTTGGGATGCCTGGGTGGCTCAGCGGTTGAGCGTCTGCCTTCAGCCCAGGGTGTGATCCTGGAGTCCCAGGATTGGGCTCCCTGCAGGGAGCCTGCATCTCCCTCTATCTGTGTGTGTCTCTGCCTCTTTGTGCCTCTCATGAATAGATAAATAAAAAAATAAAAGAAAGAAAAGAAACAGAAAACTTAGGGTTTATTGACTCGTCGTAACCCTTCAGCTTTGTCCTTATGTTCAAAGCATAAGAAGAAAATGGAATATATAAACTTGAAGATAACAAATACAAGAAAAAATAATTTGGAAACAATTATAGGAAACCACTTGGGAAGGGCAAAAGAGTTTAATTATGTTCTCTTTTGTTCATAGTATGTTATTTGGAGCATTCTGTGTTACTTTGTGCCTATACCTTTATTTGTCATCATGTCATCTTTTTTTTTTTAATTACTTCGTATCTTTATATTTCTGATAGCTTAATTTTCCATTCTTGCCATTCATTTATTGATGCCAAATTTCTTTTGGTTCACTGGATTCTGATAATCTTGATCTGGTAACCTTGCAAATAAAAAAAAAAATCTCAGGTGGTATTCATTAACAGGATGGTTCTACCACACATATACACACAATTATCTCCTTAGCATTCTAGAACCAGGCATTTTATATGGGATAAGTAGTGAGAGAAGTCAAACAATGGTGAATTTTAGTGGGTGAAAATATATTTAGAACCATGCTTCCATACCACTCATTATCCTTTTATTTTCAATTCTAGCTTTAGTTATTTCCCAGAGCTTTCTTCTGCCCTTTTCTTAGGCTCTGGTATTATAATGATATTGAAATCTTTTTCTTCCCCCAAGTGAAAAGAGAATTTTTTAATTTATACAATCAGAAAAAGTATAAACGTGAAGTGAAAATTACTAAAAAAAAAAAAAAAAAAAAAAAACAAGTGATGACACTTAGAGTAACCATTAAAAGTTCAATTCTGAACAATACCTAGCTCATTCTTTGTAGACATAACCCCTTACCTAGATGCCGGATTTTACTTCTACGTATTTAGCTGTTTACTAAAAATGTTCTATAGTATGAGTTTAAACTCAGCCTGTACATCTAAATGGGGATGTTCTTATCCTGGGCAGTCTTGCTCAGAACCTTAAAATCATCAGGAGAGTGCTCAACCAATTGTATTACATCTTATGTGTTTAATTGTTCAGTATGGCTAATTCCTTTCCTCTGTTCTATAAGTGATGATCAGTGGAGGTGGGTAGCCACCAGCACTACCACCGATAAACCTGGCTTGAGAGGCCCCACTGTAGTGTGCTACTTTTAAGGGAATGTGTCCTATTAGGATTGTCAAGGGCTTAAAATGTTAGAATCACAATTCCAAATTCTTGTGCCTTCTCTACTACCCCCCCACCTTTATTGCAGGTCTACGTTCCTTCAAACTTAGTTTTCAAAAGCTATTCTATATGCTTCCTAGAACACTTTTTCCTTGCTTAAAAACCTTCAGAGAGGGGCTCAGTCAGGTAAGCGTCTGCCTTTTTAGCTCAGGTCATGATCCCAGGGTACTGGCATCGAGTCCCACATAGGGCTCCCTGCTTATCGGGGAGTCTGCTTCTCCTTCTTCTGCCTTTCCCCCTGCTTGTGCTCTCTTGTTGTCTTTCATATAAATAAATAAAATCTTTTAAAAAAAAGAAAATCACAAAATCTTCAGAAACTTCTTCCCATTGTCTCCAGCAGTGATTCTTCATTACTATATACACATCATTAGTAGAGTGCAGGATTTTCATAACTGAAAATTCACACAATACCTGACCTTTTTGCATAATGGTGGGCTGTTGGGTGAAGAAGGGTCAGGTGGAGCTTTCCCTCTAATGATTACACTTTTCTCCATTCTTAATAGCTTCTGCGGCATGGTATTGGTTTGTCAACAAGTTCTGATAGCGAAATGATTACCCAGTTACTGGCATATACACCTCCTCAGGAACAAGATGGTACCCCAGATTGGGTAGCAAGGTAATTGTAAAACTAGGTTAATCTCACAGCTCTGGTAACGAGCGCTGCCTTGCATGTGTTTATAACTGAAATTACTCATTCAATTATTTAATTCTAGGATTAAGAATTTAATGAAGGAAGCACCCACAGCATACTCCCTGCTTATAATGCACAGAGATGTTATTTATGCAGTACGAGATCCTTATGGAAATCGTCCTCTATGCATTGGAAGTCTTATTCCTGTATCTGATATAAATGATAAAGGTAATAAATATGCTTCAGAAGAAATATAATTTCATAGTGCTTTTCCATGTCATTGTCCTACTGTTGGCACGCCCTCAATTCATTAGATAAAGGAAGCTTATGAATGAGAAGGAACTAAGTAAAAAAGAAAAATATGAGAGTTTTTAAGGTATATTTTCTTGAGTATGAGCCATTTTAAAAAATTTAATGAGACATTCCTGTTTTGTCTTGTCTGAATTACCTATTCATATCCTTTGATCAGCTTTTTTATTTGATCATAGTATGACTTCAGTGATTTTCTTTTTGACTTATTTGATGTCTATTTGAGCTGTAAAATCAGATTTTGAAAAAATTTTGGTATCATTAATTTTATCTTGGCTCGAGTCAAATGAAGATCAAAGGCTTTTTTTTTCT